GAATGACTTCAATTGATGTAACCGTTCCTATACCAATATACCTACCAATAGAGAGTACGGTAACTATGTAAGCTTGGAAGTGATTTGACGTTTATGTACTATGTGCCCAATCTTTTATTAAAAAGGTTCAAGTATATGTTGTGAGGCTCTAGTTTTGCATAAAACATTGTTATTGATCTCAATTTTTAACTTCGTATTCTCACACTATTGTTACGGTATGACTAGTAGTTTCTTTTCCGTCCCCATTGTAATGTAATTCCCTGATTGGTTAATCTTTACTCTTACGATGCCAATGTCTCAAATTGCGGACAAGATCACATTCATGTGTGTACATATTCACGTGTTTTGGGATTGGTTTATTATTGTTATTACATTCTCAAAGGAATAAACTCTCCCACCATCCAGCTTCGGTCTTCTCTCTATTCGTCCCTGGGTTGGAGTCAGTGGCTCTTGCGTATGAAGTTAGCGGTCAGTCTTTGAGTTAGTTTCTTTGTTTTTTGGTTTGTGTGTGTGTTTTGCGTAAGCGCACATAGATTTGTTAGTGAAATGGTTACTGATGTTATCATTTATTATACATGTTTGATGGTCATTATGGTTGGATTGTAACGTCTGTTCAGCGTTGTGCTGTTATGCCTATAAGTGCACTAGGTAGTTCTGTTTCTCAGTTCACTTAAAAGCGACTTATCATGACAGAATGTAAGACAATGTTTATTCATTTTTGGAAGTTTTCAGGTCTGAATATACTCAACCCCTGGTTCTCGAGTTGAATCGAAATGCACTCAGCGACCTTGTGAATATTTGTGTGGTAGGCAATGAGCCACACCCATCGTGTAAGGGGTATTGATACTAGCTGGCTGTGTATTATATTCATACGGAAAATATAACCGTTGGCGACGAAGATATGGCACTATCACATTAGAATTTCTGTTTCTTTACTAACAGGCTATGTTCCAGTCAGTCATTGAGCCTACAACAGGTGGAAAAAAAGGCGGTGAAATAACAGGAATTCGTGGTATCCTGCAAATTCTCAAAGGGAGTTGATTTCAAGGACTATCAGTTTTCATATGTACAACAAACATTTCAGAGAGAAAAGCGACTACAGTAGGAAGATATTAAAAGAAGATAAATATGAGGGGAGAAAAATCTGGCTAGGCACTGAGGATTTTGAAAACATAACACTAAGAATCTTAGTTATAAAATAATCAGCTTACTTCCTTGATTCCCTTAAGACTATACTTATAAACAGACTTCTTAAAATAAAGTTCTGCCGCAAGTTATCAATCTTGCTTATGTTTTCCTGACTGAAGTCGTAGAACCTTCACATTTTGTCTAACTCCAATCACTAGGTCTCACAACCAAAGAACATTACTTAGTATACTTGCCTTTTGGTCGACAGTCATATTACCTGATGATGCCATAAATGATGTAAGTTGTCGGAATGTCAAATGAGTTACTGCCAGAAGTCAGGTCATTCGAACTCATTATTTGCAGTTTACAAAGTTGGTTTATTCGCCTATTATACCTGCAGCAAACAGGTGTTCACCTAGTTCTTAGAAATCTAAATGTTTTCATTTACTAAGCTATCACTCATCAACCACATACACCATATCTTTTTGTCTTCTTATCATCCCTATAAGAATATGCGGACAGTTTCGCGGTAACAGAAGTGACTGGATAGGTAAAGAATATGATAGGTTTGAGATAAGATGGAGTTAGTTATTGCTTTTAAGAGGACATTTTCAGTGACTGCTTCCTGAGAGTCATTTAACTCAGTGGTTACGGTAGTTTCGACATTTATGTAATTCTTTTCGTTCTTTAACTCCTATGGTAATTTGTTAGTTTATTTAAGGCAATATTCTGAAAGATAAGGTTCCTAGACGATTATTCAAGAGAATGTTTCTATACTTTACTGACACCTCAGCAAGAAATACCAGAAATATCAAGTAAGGGATATTGAGTTTGACGCTTTGGTTCAACTGTTGACAGGACAGCTTTTAGGAAAAGCTAATACATATCCTGGAAGTGACTGAGCTTTATACATCAAAACATATCAGTTAGAATAGTTTTCTACGGGAAAATTATTTATCTTATTGAATGGATGAGCAGTTGTTTCTTGGTCTCTATCCTTATGCTCAGGAAGTGTCATTAAGTGGTAACTCCTGTTAAATACCCTTAATTTTACCTAGTTTTTACCCGGTATTTTTGCTAATAACCTTAAAATTACTTTGTCATTACAGTTTTCACATCGTTGCTGGCTTTTATTTTTCTTACTGCTTCTGAAGGCTGGACTGTCATTGGTTGTTAACTCTTCCAACCTTTCAGTGGATATAGCGTTGTCAAAGTTGTTCAGAAATGTGTATGTTCAGCATCACACTCAAATGTTTTGACAGTTGTTGAAACAGTAGAAGCTATCTGTCAACTCTCCATCTTATCTTCCTGTAAATAATATCAGTTACCTAAAGGGAAGTTATATTTTAGAAACACTGCATGATCTGAGCAAAGAAATGTCTACGTGTGTCGATACAGCCAGTGAAATTGAAAATGAAATGGATTCTAGAACTTAAGATGAAAGCAACTTTGGGGGAGTTTTTAGCAAAATTTGAGATCTTTGTTAAAACAGTGAACTAAATAATGTTGAGCCACCTGTACACATCAATAAGCCTGATAGTTATCAGATAAAGATGGATTATATATATTCTTCGATTCACTCATGGTTGAATTGAGTCCCTTGTTATCAGAATTGCAGAATGGGATGTCTCCATAATTACAATCTTCAATATCTCAATGATGGCTAGTGGCTAGCAGTGGAATCCAGGATGTGCATTTTGTCTTATCTAGAACTTGTCAGCTGGATGTACCTGCCATCCAGTAAGTGATGTTGTTCCCACCCGGGGGTTCGAACCCGGGACCGATCTCTTCAAACTCCAGAGCGTTGTTCACTAGACTGCCGAACGACGATAGCCACTTATTGTGCGACGGGTACAGTTTTAGCGTTATTGCTTGTATTACACCATCGCTGATTGGACCGAATTGACTGATCAAGCAATAACACTAAAATATCTAATATCATCAGTAAAAAACGCTCCACTGCATGGGTGAAAGTCATGTATTTCGATTTCTAATTTTCAGATAGGTTGCATTCCAAGTTACTTTCGCTTATTAGTTGTTCATTCCAAAGGACGTGTGACAATTTCCATCGAATAAGGAAAACTTGCATAAATGTGTAGTTCCAAGTTCCCCCTAAGACTTGATTTGAACATCTGAGGCTTCAGAACATCATGTTAAGACAGATGATACTCTCTAAAAGTCCATTTGTCGAAAGAGCAAGTGGAATGGTACTTATCTGAGTTTTAGTAGATTCTATCCAATTAACTCCTAATGACAATTAGCTTAAACCCTATTTCACAAAGTTAGAATGATATGTTCTAGTAACAAAGTAAGGGAAGATTTGAAAACAGTTGAATGATGCTTGCAGGACAATGAATATGCACGCTCATGTAACAAGTTATATGAAAGAAATAGAAGACGAAAAGTCGAAGAAAAATACAGTCAGTTAAAAGGCTGCATTCATTCGCCTCATTGTCAAAAGTTATGATATTTCAGGAGCTACTAGCAGACGATAGAACTTTCCCAACGACCAGGTTAATTTCTGTGAACCAACAGGCTCCTTAATCCAGTCAAAAGTCAACAAGAACTCTTGCTATGTTACTTTAAACTGTGTATCTCAAGTTACTTGTAGCTGCTGAAGCAGAAATACCTGGGGGGACAGAAAGAAAGGCATATCTTACATTTTCTGAACACATTGTGAGCAACCTAGAGTTGAGGGGAAGTAATACTTTGAACATTGTAATCACTCGGGATCTGACTGACACTAGACACTAATCAGATACCTTCAATTGCTTCGAGATAATAAACAAACAAACGAGCTCAATTCTTTTGAGATTTGTTGAAGCCTTATCAGTTAAGCGCCTCAAATCTTATATGTTATATGGTAACCTTTAGTGACTCATTCAATTACATCACCCTTTATCAACAACAGATGCCTATCCCTTCACTCTTATTAAGTTGTATCATCTTTTGTTCATACTGAATGTTTCTAACTCACAATATTTTGCTTATTTATCATATGACCCACTTGCGTAACCCTATAGCGTTAAGTCCCTGAATATTCTGATTGCTATTCTTATCATTATTTTTATTCGAGGAGCTCCCATCGGATAATATGCGTACCTTTGACAACTTGTTACCACTTACTAACCTTCGTTGAATTTGCTGTTGTGTATGATCTTTACCCAGTAAGTATTTCTGTGCTTGTGAGCCACTGATTGATATTATATCTTCTTCCAGCTATTTGAAGTACGTTAAGCTTTCAGTAAAACTATATACTTTGATAATCTAGGTTGTCAACAGTTGTCGAGATACCAGCGAAGTAAAACGTATCCATTTTATCCTGCCAATAGTGTTGTTCTTACTTTTTTCAAATTCATTATGTAACGCTTGATTACATTTTTCCCAAGTGTAAATGTAGTTTCTTTAACGACTCGAGTGCGGAGTACTAGGGTCGTCGTGTTATGAGATGTTTTGAGAAGTAATCAGTATAAGTTTGATTATTCTGCCTGTACGGATATACTTTTCACGAGGATTTATAAATCTGAAAAATGACCCTACATTAACTGCTTTTGTACATAACAGCTAAATATGATTGATTTGTCAACTAACAATGAGTTTAATAATTTAATTAACTGCCTAAAAAAACGTCTTCTATAAATAAACGCATTCAACTGTAGCTGGAGAATAACAAAATGAATTCATATCTAAGGTGTTTACGTTCAGTACGAAAAAAAACCTACAGGAATTTCAGTCAAAGCATCGTTCATACTTCGTCTTCGTACAGGAACAGTTGACCTTGAATAAATTAACACATTCACATCAATTCTATACACATTATAATCGTATTATAATCAATTAACCCGTTAGTGAACATTGAACTCAGGGATATTGAATTCAAAATATCTTGAAGCGTATTCAAAGAGCTTTTGAATATACTTTTTTTCAAAGAAAGTAAAGAAACTACAAATAGGTGAATTTTCGTGAAAGTTAGTTTTTTCTCAAAAAAGAACTTTTAAAATACTTGAGCATCAGTAGTTAAAAGCGAGAATTATCAATTATTTTTGTTATTTTTTGTTTGAAATGTGTTCAATCGACATCAAATTAGAATTATATATAAACAGAAAAGCGTAGATACTATATGAGAAAGATAAAAGGGGAGAAAAAAACCAGGTATCATTATAATTATGTAAGTAGCCAAAGTAAATCTATTATAGCTAAGCAATCATAATAAATAACGATGACAATAATAATCATCATAAATTGTGATGAATATTGAGAAAGGTTTGAGCATTTGTAAACTAACTGGTCAACTAACCTTTTATCAGTTCATTCAAACAACGCTTATCAAAGATTTGAAGGCTTTTCAATTTATATACAATTACGGGGATTGAATTTTACAGAAAAAATTAGCGGTTACAGGACTTATGTCGTTGATATTTATTTGCACAACTCATGTGGCATTCAGGCGCCTGATGTGGCATATATCTTGATCCCAGCTAAGTAGTTATAACTATCGAGAGAATATTAATCAAGATTTTCTGGAATAGTCTGGTAAATACCAAAATGACTCGTCTTGGCAGACTGAAAGTCGTAAATCGGCACTTGTATCATCGAATTATTTTAGTTTTCTTAGATGCCACCAAGTAAAGTGGTTTTGACAAGCTTCATTGGCTATCATACAACAGGTAACCGCTACATGTAATCCATTACTGAAAGTAGTCAGTTGTGGTCTCAATAAGTTAATCCTAAAGATTATGACATATAAGTGTAGAACTTCGGCACTCTGATTGAATGTAGTTTGTTTATAAGGTATATACCGCAAAGTTATACAGTATTATTTACCTGAGCTTCTTTTCAGACCTCAAGAAGATGTATATGCATTCTTCCAGAAACTCATTCATCAGGAGACCTAATTATACGTCAGATAGTTCAGATGTCACAATTCCATATTACATTTATTTATTTGATTTGTAACACACAGTTATACAGTATTATTTACCTGATGACGTTTCGAGCACAAATTATCACACATAATCATATCAATGTAATCACACCAATTTCGACAACCGATTTTTATGATCCTGTCACCTTATATTCTTTGTTTCTATTGGTAGTAAAGTTTTTCCTATCTCTGGTATAGGCGTTGTGTCATTTCTATTACATGTGTTGAGTGTAGATTCGATGAACAAAGATTCAGTAACCAATCTCTTTCTCTCTTTCCACCGAATTATATTAAACTGATTAAGCATGGTGGTTTTATCCCACCCTATTGTGTGGTTGTGTGTTAATGCATCCATTGCAATAACCGAGTGTTTTTCTACATTATGGATCTCATTCGGGTCTGTCATTCTATATTTCTCTAAGTTCCTATGTTCGGCTGATGTAACTAACGCCGACTGGCTGGTTTGACTTGTGTAATTGATTTCCCAGTTATTGCACGGAATTTGATAAATTAGATTATTTTGCTTAACTGGTATACAAATTACCGTCAGTCCTTCATTTACCCTGCATTCCAACATATCCAGTTCTCTTTTGATATTTTCTACTTCGTGAGTTGGATTACGCCTACTACTGAGTCTATATATGTAAGAAAGTTGTCGATATGTTCTGATTTAAACACAGTTAGTGTATCTTTCACATATGGCAATCCAATTCACTTACGAGGTGGAAAATGAATAACGAGAACTATCTATGCTAGATTGCAGGACAAAACGAAGAACTGATGGTGATTTGTATACTACCATTTACAGGAAACGGACACATTTTAACAGGTATCAAGACTTCAAGTCATCCCATCCTATGCTAGTTAAGGCAGGTTTAGTCAAATGTTTCAGTGATAGAGCTAGAAAATTGACTAGCCAGCGCAAGGACCTAAACAATGAAGTGAGGCACATAAAAGTAGCAATAGTAGTTAATAGTCATCCTCTACATTTTATCAAGAAATCTGCATTAATAATAACGACAACAAGAGTAGAAAGGAGTTTACAGCCTCCACTTTGTTACCCTATTAGGAAGGGAAATCAGAAACTTTACGTAGGATGCTCAACAAAGCTGGAATTAGGGCGGCATTTGAACCCACAAACTCGCTGAGAGATGAACTTTTTCGGCTTATGGATCCGATAGATCCAATTAGGCAAAATAATCTAATCTATCAAATTCCGTGCAATAACTGGGAAATCAATTACACAAGTCAAACCAGCCAGTCGGCGTTAGTTACATTAGCCGAACATAGGAACTTAGAGAAATATAGAATGACAGACCCGAATGAGATCCATAATGTAGAAAAACACTCGGTTATTGCAATGGATGCATTAACACACAACCACACAATAGGGTGGGATAAAACCACCATGCTTAATCAGTTTAATATAATTCGGTGGAAAGAGAGAAAGAGATTGGTTACTGAATCTTTGTTCATCGAATCTACACTCAACACATGTAATAGAAATGACACAACGCCTATACCAGAGATAGGAAAAACTTTACTACCAATAGAAACAAAGAATATAAGGTGACAGGATCATAAAAATCGGTTGTCGAAATTGGTGTGATTACATTGATATGATTATGTGTAATAATTTGTGCTCGAAACGTCATCAGGTAAATAATACTGTATAACTGTGTGTTACAAATCAAATAAATAAATGTAATATGGAATTGTGACATCTGAACTATCTGACGTATAATTAGGTCTCCTGATGAATGAGTTTCTGGAAGAATGCATATACATCTTCTTGAGGTCTGAAAAGAAGCACAAAGTATAAACTATGGAAAATGTCTTTCTGGTTGACTTCTAACGTCTCATATTCTAAAATATTCACCAGTTTATCATGTCTTAGGGATCAGAACCTGACTTCCAATGAGTGAAGAGGAAATGTTTGAAATTTTTATTGCCGAAGTATGCAAGACACTTACTTTGTCAGCCCAAACAGCTCAAAAACAACAAGTGTAACACGATAAGATGAGCTCTTTTCTATCATTTCAAGGATTCTTCTCAATTACTTACAGCCGAAATACCATCGAAACACACGATACACGAAGTGGAAAGACTTTCATCAAGTTGGTAAGAAGTTATTGACAGGATAAACTGGTAGTAAGTATTATGTAACCAATTAGGAAGGTAGAAGAGATCGTTATGAATGTAGAGGGAGTTTGACTATTAAAATGATTATCAAGTGAACATCGTTGATGGAGTAGGTCAAGAGTTGAATGAATCAAGCATCGATTGGATGCTACAGTGAATAGAACATATTTGGCTGTCAAGGTGACTGGTTTATGCTAGACAAATATTCGGTATTTTTTTCGAAGGTGGACAAATTTCTAGTTGATTCTACTTGCAACTGTATCGATCATTTTGGATGTACTTGCCAAAGTACATACATTGGAAGGACAGAGAGGGGGATTTTTGTTTGCGTTTCTGGGTAAACACTTAAGAATCTAACTGTAGGAAGTCCGTATACACTAAGCAGCGTGACCGCACATAGACTGATTGACACTTAGCACAGCGGTGACAGACTGGAATAGTAAGATTAGTTGTGAATATGTCTATTTTTGACAATTTGTTCGGCATAAACAAGTAATCTTGACAGACAAATATGTTCTATTCACTGTAGCATCCAATCGATGCTTGATTCATTCAACTCTTGACCTACTCCATCAACGATGTTCACTTGATAATCATTTTAATAGTCAAACTCCCTCTACATTCATAACGATCTCTTCTACCTTCCTAATTGGTTACATAATACTTACTACCAGTTTATCCTGTCAATAACTTCTTACCAACTTGATGAAAGTCTTTCCACTTCGTGTATCGTGTGTTTCGATGGTATTTCGGCTGTAAGTAATTGAGAAGAATCCTTGAAATGATAGAAAAGAGCTCATCTTATCGTGTTACACTTGTTGTTTTTGAGCTGTTCAAGTTTATAAATATTAACAGTCACTTCATACTAGAATTTTACATTCGTGATTGTACTGTGCATTCTGCATCTCATCCCATAAGAAGGAGCTCTGGTTTTGTGATCATATGGTCTTAATGTACAAAGCGCTAGCTTCCATCTTTAAGGAGGTTAAACATGTTCTCTTAAAGGGATTTCCGCGTTTTAACCCAATATCACTTCAGACAACTCAGTTTTGTGATTGTGACATTATTAAGAAACAATCGAAACTTACATCTTCATTGTTAAACAATGATGTGCCCTCAAGATTCTTTGGATGTGCTTCAGTTGTTTCAAAGGCAGTTTTCAGTCGTACCATACACAGCATAAAATCTTCAAAACTTATGTGATTTGTACCAGGCTCTTGATATCGGTGTACTATAGCATTGAACAACCGATTGCTTACATGGAAACCTAAAGAATAGTAAAAGATTGCAAGAAATATTTTTATTAGTTGAATTCCAACTTATCATCTTTTTGGCTGTTGGTATATTAAAACCACAGTAAAATATTCAATTATTTGAAATCAGCTATTAGTGTGGATTCAACCATATATCGGAATTTTATCAAATATATTTCTAATACTACTTTGATATGATTTAAGAAGCCAGTTAAGAAGAACAGAATATTGACCAACATCCTTACATATATTTTTTCTAATGAAATCAGTTTGAACGGAGAAGTTTCAGTATGGTTAGCCATACATTCATATACCTCAAAACTTCTTGTCTCATTCGAATTATAAGAATTAAAAATATTCCTTACTTAACCCATATAACCGATACAAATTTCCTTAGAACGGATATATTTCAGTCTCCCTGTAATCACTGTTTGGAGTGGGAATTCTTTAGAGTGGAAAGGTATTCAGTAATCAGAATGAAGAATATTTTATTGATGTAACTCTTTTTTGAAAGCAAACTCAAACGAAATCATGTTAATACACTTTTTGATGACATGGGTAGCAGAAATCATAAAAGTTAAAAGAAATACGACGTATGAAACACAAAATCTTCGGAACGGTATTCTAATTGTAAAACCTTTGATTAGAGGGATGGTATTTACGGGAAATTGATTCAGTGAACTTGAAAGTTTGTTGTTCTAGAAACGATTGGGCTAAACGATCACTGACTGGAAAAATCTCTACCAAGTTTGGCGTTTGGTTAACTTCACTTATCTTTGTATTTTCAGCTGATGTGTTGATATGGATCACAGTTTGAAAAATACTCCAGTTTATGCATGTTTCTGATTGAAGTATTTAAGTTGAGTTAGATGTTTTTATATCAATTAGTTACCCATGAAAGTGAAAATTCAATTTACTGGTTTTTATAGAAACATACAAATCAGAGTGAATAAACGGAATGTGAAAATCCTCTTTCAGCTTTGTATAGTTTCTTATATTAACACAGAGGTGGAAAAAGTGAAGGACATCTCTAAAAGTTTGAGTAAATACATCAATGAGATGCGGGTGGTTTTGCTTACTTTTCAAAACCGATAGAAGGGTATGTATATACTTTATCTAGATTTTCCTATGACTGTCTAAACACTCGACCAAGATCTTGTGGTGTGATCTCTGATACAAAAAACCAATAAGCTAATGAAATACACTACTGAACAATATGAGTATTTATAGTAGTGGGTTTGGATGGGAACCCTGTTGACCTCACAGTTGGGCGGTTGGAAAATTACTTAGATGTGAGAAATGTTAACGTGGATCAGGCAATTTCTAAACCATTTGCATATTGATCATTCATGAATATCGTGGAGACGTCAAAATGATTGGACATTAACCTAAACAATATCTCAGAAGATGGTAATCACTGGTTAATGCACTGACAAGAGTTTGCATGTTCAAATTTAAATCCAACCACAAAATGATTTAAGGTCAAGTTCTATAGCGTCATTCATTCTCAGTCTATTAAATCTTCACTTTTTTGAGCCTTTCATTTGCTGGTGGTATGATGCATGGATAAACAAGTGTTACTGGATTCCACAGTCTTCAGGTCTTTAGAGATGACAGACACACTTTTGAGTCATAAAGGTCCATTGGTAGTACACTAGAAAACCGAATCCATCAAATGCGTGTTTCATATTTCTTCAGTAGATCTGTATGGTTCTAAGACAAACTATGTAAGTACACTGTTTGTGAAATGATGGAAGGAGCTATGTGAGAATTTTTTCTCGAGGAGCAGCCTTTAAATGTGATCTTTTTTGATTTTAGGTAAAATATAGCTTGTTATTCATGGTGAACGTATGGTAGACAAATTGATCAATACTCAAGAATTGAAACCTATATCCATTACCTTTTAGTTACTAATTTGTGTACATAAACAACTTAAAAGCGGGTTTGTTACTAACCTGGATAACTTAGCAGTATGGCTTTTGAGTGTCAGGATAAAATGATATATAGCAAAATTCTTTAAAAAGCATCCATTTCCTAAAAGTTGGGGACACGTCCAGTTGGTGAATGCCATTAAGTACGAATACTCCTGCTGACTGACTCAAAACATTTATTCCTTGAATGTATCAAACTTTTATGTTTGCACTATATTTGAGAACCACTGAAACTAAGCTTATTTTCTGATAATGATTAAATTTATGTTTACTGTCGTTTTCATTCCGGTGATGACATCTATAAGGGACTCTGACGTCTTACTAAATCAGAGATTGCTTCCCCCAAAAAAACTTTCTTAACTGAGGGTATAATTAAAAATAAAGTGTACCGTATAACTGACTAGTTTAATTTATAAACATTCCCTTTGTATCATGGGTACCTAGTGAAAAGTAAATTCACTGGTGAATATTTCTATTTTAGTCACTTTCGGTTCATGCTTTATTATCACCGACTAGTGTTTCCTGCTACTTTAGAAGCAGCTAGTCAGAAAAGTAGTTTCTTTATGAAAACTAAAAGTATCACGGTCTGTGCTATAAAACAGTAGGTGTATTGTTCATACTTAACTTCAAATGCAACCTGTAAAACTATTGCACCAATTGGTGTTAGTCTACGCAAATGATTTGTTGATTTTCCGTTTATAATACTTTGGAAAATTTGCTGAATTTCACCAGATATGATGAAAATATGAAAAGCTGTCACCAGTTTATCAAGCTGGCAACTTGCATTACAGTTTCACTTTACGTATTAGTACAAAACTTAGGTCCAGTACCTCCTTGCGATTGCATACAGCAATCTTACATAAGGCAAATTGTACCATGAAGCAGAATCTCCTAGCTTAGTCACCAGGCTGCAGAATGATCGACAGAACTCTATCAGCATTCGGGAATAGACGACATGAAGTTTGCCACACTCCAATGACCAAGTAATGGATCTTATCTAGTCTTATAGGTGATCATTCACGGTTTGAATAGCTCACTGGTTATGTCTATCACTACATCATCACGTAACACAAGTTCGGATCTCTGTGAGTGCATAAGTTTCTTTGAGATTACAGATACGCCTTGCTGACGAGTGTCAGTGTAGATGAAATTTAGATGCAGCGCTTCCATATGATTATCACTAACCAATTCACGAAATTACTTAACCAGACCAAGTATATGAAAGAGAAAAAAAACAAATCTGTTTGAAGTTGTTATTCATCGTAGACTGACATCAGTTGGAGGAACAAAGTAAACCTGTGAGCACTGGACAGCTGTTTCGTCCTAGTATGGGACTTCTCAGCAGTGCGCACCCACGACCCCGCCAGGGATCGAACTCGCGATCTTCAGCTTTCGTGGCCAGCACGTTACCATTGAACCACTGAGTCAGAATCCAATGGCCCATATTTCCAACTTCTGTTCGCGCACGAAATATCGCAACCGCCACCCAATATCATCTTTAAGTAACTGTCCTCACGACCATCAGGCTTTGACTTTATCAAATACCGAAGTCAAACGCAAACTAATTAATATACAGAAATTGTGGGTCGTCCAGGCGGTAAAGTCTAGATTGTGATATTAGTTAAGTGGAGTTATGAACAACTGGTAATGTTTATAAACTTATCTGGTCGAAAGTGATATGTAGGTTAACTATATCATCACGTACCTGCATCATTTAAAGCTTCTCTAAATTCATAGGCATTGAAGAATCCGCTTTGGTCAATGTCGTGTTTTAGGAAAATGTGCTAAGAATACAGGATACAAAAGCACACAAGAAGGAATTAAAATTTTGGAAGCGATTAGTCAGAAAAAATCTATGTAAATAGCTAAATAAATGTAAATGCAGATGTAAACCGTTTCAGCTCAAATAGTTTTTTCGTAGATTACTTTTCGACGTATAGGAAGAGTGATTACAATTGAGATTAAAGTTAAGGCTGTGGCTGAGCTATCATGAAAACCCAACTGAGACATATGTTCTAGGTCTTATTTTCACTTAGGTCGATGAGAGTTTCGCCTATCTGTCATGTGAAAGTAAAGTGAGCAAGTGTCCATCTCCTAGGATTGCACCAGCTTCCTGATCAAGCTGTCTGAAATCGGTTCAAATCTGGTTCAATTAGAAAGGAAAAACGACAAATGTATTGCTGACAAGACGAAATGCAGCAATCTGAAAGTGACATAATATTATCACAACTTGTAAATATGCTACTGATAAGTAGGTTGTCAGTCAACCGGTCATTACCAATATAGGACAAGGAATTACTACCCACGGTTCAAGTTGGCACACCTCACATTAGCGCACGACGATACAAGGCAGTCAAATGAAAAACAGGAAAAAAACGTCAAACGTCGTAGAAAGTTACACGAAGAGAAGGAGAGAGGTAAAACGAAAATTTAGTTCGGAGGTTTTTGCAGATTGACTGCTTTTAGGGTCGCATTCATAATGGATTTACATCACATGGGGAACCATTGAAAAAGCAGGAGAATTGGGTAGCTATTACGTCCTACTGTGGGATTTCTTAGTAAGATAAGTGGCGCACAATGCTGAAGAATCCCAAACTACGACGAAGCGGCCATCTGATACTCCCAGGTTCCCAACTGTTCTCAAACTGATGATTACGAGCCTGAAACAAAGAAATTATATATAACGGCTAGAATAACAATAATAATAATGGCTTTATTCTGAAAGATATTTTAGGAATACTGTGGAGATAATGTATGGATGCACATATGCTACCGAGATGAATTCTGAAGTCTCAAACCATAGATGTCAGTTGTTACGCGAAGCCTGACTGAGAAGTCAGCTTTTCCCGATACGGCCGACACTATAAAATACTTCATAGACTGAGGCCACTTTTTAATCTGACCGCTTTCAACCTATGTCCAACCTAAACCTACCTTGAGATGAAGAGAAAGATTTGTGGCTCAGGATGAGGATCATAGCGGTTTGATATTCTATGAGATCGACATTTTGTCGTTATAACCAGGCTTAGTGGCATCTTCAGCAATAAATTCTTTATGAAGCTAGTACTGAAGATGTCAATAAGCTTGGTGACGAAGCACTCATGACAAAAAAACAAAGCTCAGAGCTAACACTGCGTATTACGGTAGGTGGTTATTTGACATAATATCAAACGTCCCACCTACCTGACTTAAAGGTTTACAACTTGGCCATCAGACTTACCTCTTTATTCTAGAGCTCCACCCTTGGCCTTTACGTTACTAACGTCGCTATTGTATGGTACACAGGCAGTTCTACAAAAACATCGGTAGTTGAATACTTGAAGTTTTCTAATATCTCCCACCCTAAATGTCTATGTTTCATGATGTCATAAGTGGCTTAGGTTGGTAAAATGCAAACAAGACTTGGATTTCAACAGTAACTCAAATGTGAAGCCTACAACCGGCTTTTATTCTTTAATTTCGTAAACCTTTTAGTATTTTTGCTACCAAAGCGAAAATATCCTAAACAGAATACATTCAGCTGATACGAGACGTGCTAAAATGAGCAGGTTGATAATCATCTGAACGAGGTGATAAGATGTAATTTTTGATCTTTAACTGAATAACTGTAGAAAGTTGTCTGAAATAACTTATGAACTAAACAGTGGTGCAATTTATTTCCCCATTATCTTATTCAGTTAGAATATGAGCTGCAACAATACTGTATACTTACGAACATACTTTGTTAGTAAGCAGTAATAAATACAAAGCCAGCTGGCATAGCACTCAATGTATCGTACAAAGCAACTTCGGAAATGAGTTTCTACTTGGATAGCCTCTAATTTATCCGATTATGGTCGTCCTCAGTGGTTTGACTTTCACTAAGCTTCGATATTTTGTCGTGAACTGCTCATCACCTCAATCGACACAAATCTAGCCGACATGACAATGCATATTTTTCTGATGAATGTTTGAAATCCTTTATATAAAACCCATTGCTGAAAGCTTACTAGAGTTGGTTGTTTAGTTGCTTTATACCTACTCATAGTTCAGTGGCAAGATTCACTAACGAATGAAATGGATGCCTATAAGATTCCCAATATCATGATTGATTTTTGGGGTTTTGAATCGACAGATACATCTCTTGCCAGATCGAACATGTGGATTCGGTACAAAGATGATGTTTATAATATTCTCAAGCAGAATGAAACGGAAAATACTTTCAAAACAATCAACCAATGGTATGAATGCAGAGAATTCATGAAGTAGGAAGAAGAAAATGATGAGTTTTTGTTCTTAGATGTCCTCATTAACAGAATGCACAATGGTGTCTCGTAAGCTAAGATGTACAAAAAAGTCACATACATCGGCCAAATTCTGAAAGACAGCAGCAATTCTCTTTCACTTCATAAAACTACATTGTGTATAAACACTACTTCTAGGAACCAAGCCGCATTTCAGGACTGGGGCCTTATGGAAAGCATAGGGAAAACATGTGTATGAAGTGTTCAGAACCAACGATAACAAGTAAGCCTCATTAGAATATGTTTGTCTGCAGAAGTGAAAACACTACCATTACCTTAGTAAGTATGTAACACTACCATACATTTAGGATGTCTTAGAAAGTGTCAAACTATTGTTTCATCTGTTCAAGAGTGGAGTGGAACACATTAATCAATCAGTCACAGGATGTGAAGATTTTGCGATGGGTGAGTTAACAGTGGCAAGAGAATTTCTAGAGGCTTGGAGTTCAAACGTAACTTCAATCAATAGACATGTAGATGTAGATCCAATATATTCGAATCAGGAAAAATGCAGTCAACTGTTAAGCAAGTAAAAATTGACAACAAATCAATACTGTAGTATAATATTTGTATTAAGTCGAAGAATTTCACTATAAAAAAGCTTCTTTACTAGCGTGACTCAAGGAAATTTAAGGTTAGAAAGGTTGAGGTGCAACGTAGTCTTACAAGTAGACAACGTTCAAGGTAATCAAAAACACTACCTGGGCTTTCATTTAACCTTGAAACATGCCTCTGTTCTTTTTGAACTTAGGGTTGATGGTTACAGTTTACTTGGTAACTAGTATTGAGATTCACTACGCATGTTTCATTTTTTTTGGGACTCTTTAGCAATGGGTGATGCTGTTTCCAAGGAGACTCGAATCCATAACGCATCACTTCAAACGCCATGGGGTTATCTAGTAGGGCACTGAAACACGATGATATCCCCAGCCTACTTCTCGTCCTCAGCTATTAATTACTTTTCATTGTTTTAGTGGTGTCAAATAGCATTTATGAGGACTTGTGTTCATCAGGAATCATTACTTTATGATTATGATTTTATTCAAAGTGGATCTTACAAAAAAGATTTCAGTACTGTTTTCCGTAATCATTCGAAGGAAATGAGAATAAGATCTTTATGTATTTTGAGGCTTGTGAAGATATTTATTTTTATTTACGCATTTCTAATGGAGGCTGTGACCTGTGAGGTCAACCGATAGGGACAGAAGAGGATGCCACCGGAAAGCTTGGTGGATAGTAGTGCTATATCACGAAATGACAGAGGTAGGCAACAGTGGGCCAACCCTGTAGCTGAATGGTTGACGCCTTTGCAATGATGACTGGAGGTCATGAGTACGCACTGCTGAACAGTCATATACTAGGACGAAACAGCTATCCGGTGCTTCCGGATTCTTAACGGTTGTCCAGCTGATGTCAGTCCATAGAGAATACTATCTTGAAAAAAACACAAATATCTTTTGGATTACTTCATAAGATATTTTTTTTCAAAATGAATACTCATGCTGAACTCCCTGGTTTATCTGAATACCATACACTTAGAAAAGTTAAGTTGAGTGAAGAAGTGAGTGGTAAGAGGGAACACTGTTATGCAACTGAAATCTGATTAAATACACCTCCTTTTATCATGATTTTGACGTTTCTTGCCTTCTACCACATACGTGACTAAATATCATTAGTCACCTTCAGTATCATTATTGAGAGTAAACATATGCGATACTTTTGGTGTGTGATACATGTTGGTTTCTAACGCAAACAACGTCTGCAACTTGAAATAAACCATACAGCTCTCAGTATCCATGTGTTCCAAACTGATATATACAAGGCTGGTAGTATGATTCAGTGCTTTATTATTGTTATTTTTATTCGTGTCTTGGGTTCCTAGTGGAACGTAGAGTTTCAGTAGCACATCTCCACTTCACTCTCTTCTCTGCACTCTTTTGAACCTGACCCCACCACTGTCCACAAGCTTTCATTTCTTCCTTACACTATCTCCTCCATGTCACCCTCGCCTCGGACACCAAACTCGTCTTTTCCTTTTTGGCTACTCAAGGGCCTGACCTGGCGCGTGATGTTCCCGACCGGTCTTCTCAGTGTATGTCCAATCCAATCCATCTCCACTTTCTTCTGCATATTTGTTAAGTGTTGGTTTCTTGGTTGGTTCGTTGCCAGCCAGAATGAGTTCATTGTTGTTTATTCTTTCCGGCAATCCATCTGATCTTCAGTATCGAGTGAGAGCAGGCTGCAGCTGTTGATTAATGACTAGTTCGTTGGAAATGCTTTACTGATAGGTTATTTTATGCATACACCGGTACCAACTTTATGATTAACTATGTTCCAGCCATGACTTTTTTAATTGTACATTTTATTCTGCCAATGACATCTCTTTTAAAGCCCAGTCTGAGGCAGGGAAACATAGTGGTAAATGTTAGAAATCAATCGCCAGGACGTTATGAACTTAGGTATCGGGATTGCTGGCATTTATCAGCAAGGCATATCAGTAACTATTTTTGCCTCCGTGATTTAACCCGAGTGACTTAGATGCTTGACCTTAAATTATCCATGGCATGACTGGTCCACTGTAAAACTTGATCACACATGAATGGTCCAATGGTAAAGTCTATGAATTCAGAAGTACTGGCTGACATAAGTTAGAATTACCAGGAGAACATCGGCTTCCTCATATGCCCTTGCTGATAGTTGCTGACAGGCACTATTTTCAGGTGCAGGTCTTCAGACAGACTAACTAATGACATCTAACAACAAAATACAGAGTAACACAGTTTTGTATCCTGTAGCTTAGTGAACTTATTGGGAACTTGATCCATCGACTTAGATCAACGTTAAGTGATAAGGCCTATAAAATCACATTGGTTAACCACTGGTCGCAAATTCATGCAGGTACAATTTTCATCTACATTACCACACTGCTATCAAATTCTCAGTACTTCCAAGTAAACTTGGGGTGATCTGCATTATCCTGTAGAAATCTCCAACCAAACTCAGTTCGCTTTGCAACGTTTTCTTCAAGAAGAGTCAGTATGCTGTTTGATAAAGTTTTCTGATCACGCTAGCCCCCCCCCATAACCTAACAGCACAAAATGCTAACCTTTAAAAAAGACTGATTTCACGTTGTTTCCAAGTGACTACCTTGTCTGGCTTTGAAGTTTCATTTTTATATAAGACACTGATCAAGAAAGTCCAAACAATTTACAATTTTATCTTCAATCATAAACTTGACGGTTTAGTGAACACCCTTGAAAATGTCCAATGGCTTGTAAGAATTGTCATCAAAAAAACTTTACGTAGAATGTAACTGTGTAGTGCTGATCTAAAGCTGGCTCCTTCCAGTCTGTAAAATCGGTGTCTAACAATCTGACTATATGTGTCGACGTAAATATACGCAAACAATAGAGAAACAGACGTTTACTAAGATTTCAGAGTATATATTCAAACAGTTGTACGTAATTCAAGTTTAAGTTTTATACCACTCATTAATATTAGGCAGTATGATTTTATTCTTCAACTTTGTCACTTTATATGCATATTTAATCTTACGTTTCTGCTAAAATCGCTCTTCATTCATCATTTTCACCTGTTTGGATATTAGTATCTTTCCAGTTTCACGAATTATCCATTTAGCTGTTTTTCTAGTCTTCCACCTTCCTTTGAGTGTTTAATTATTCTGTGCTTTTTATATTACCCCATGAATCGGGGCCTTTTTTACACTTATTACCTTGATTTGCTTTGGTTACAGCTCTGCTGTACATTTTATTGATGCATTTCCTGTAAGTTACTTTTAATAGTGATAAGCCCATAGATACCTCTTAATTACAAGATAGTCATTTACTTGTCATTATTGCTAATTTTAAATACTTTGCCACATTTCAGACAAATCTTGTGTTTTGAATTTTCCACTTGAGATAAGGAGTCAACTAATTGTTAGTCTAAGAAACATGTCTTTTAAGAATTTTATACACACTCCAACTTAAAAATGCTTCCTACAGAATAAGCATAGACCTACTAACGATTGGAAGTTCGAGTAAATTGTGTTCTGTACACCTGGACTGAAGAATGTGAGTAAGCAGAACGTTCATGACCTGTGATAACCATTCCTTTCCTCGTGACTGAAGATGCAATAGGTCACGATGCTTAGTCACCTAGCTCATTGATAGCTTGAAACATCCTGATCCATACACTTTTGATTGGTACAAAGTCAGTGGTAGTTCAATGGTTAATTGGCATACTCTTATTGTTTCCATCAGTAACCATCCATAACTGGATTCGTCGAAATGTAGGGCCACTGAATGAAGTAAGAAGTGACTGTTTTTAAGATCGTTAATTGAGAATAAATAATACATCATGGCATCGCCTACCATTCAGTGTGAAATTTTTTTTAATGAAATCTAGGTTATCCCTTCTGAACAATCATCATCAAAAACTAAGTATTTTACAGAATATCTTCAGCTCACCACAAGATAGCACAGACTAAATGTGTGAAGTTCTTTAAAAATTATATTTTCAACATTACTATTGACTGTGAACTTAATCCCACACTAAAAGCTTTTAAAACCCTTTTCACTGCTGGAAATCTTAACTGTGCTACAGTGAGGAAGTGAAGTTAATTCATATAGGAATGTGTTGGTCCCTTCATTTTCAAAATCTGCAGGGGGATAATGGCTGTTTTAAAGTTAAAAGATTAATAACTCTAGGCAACTGGTACTACATTGGTTATGCTGTTGACTAACAGAAGTTAGCTATTGAACTCAATATCATTGATATTTAACATCCGATATGCTCTTAAAATGTTGATTGTATTCAGACTAGAACTGCACATTTGATAGCTGCAAGCAAGTGAAAAGTACTCCTACGAGAATAGCAGGAACCTGTACCTCCACTCACTTTCGGTGGTAAACCACTGAGAGTTGTTAAAAGGTCTGTACATCTAAGAAGTAGTGGAGGTGTGGTTGGTGAGATTTCTGACAGCAAATGGAAAGCCTGAGCGAGAATTCATCAACCTGTGTCATTTGTGGTGACACTGTTACGTTAATCTGGATGTAAAAGAGTGTAGAATGAGTTGGTGCAGACAGTTCCTCTGTGCACCTGTGAAACCTGACCTACATGAGAAGAGGATTTCTGATCACTGTTATCTCCCAAATAATGCTGTTATTTAATGGAAATTTCCTGAAAGTAATTCTGGGGTGGGTCACTACGTGTTTGAGCATAGTGCAGATCGTCATTCATTGAGTGAAGTTTTCTTGAAAGTCAGTTTTCAGTGATTTAGACACGTGTTCTGTAAGTTGTTCTAGCATCAATGACACAGCATACCATTCGCTTGCCTTGGAGCTGGTTGGACGCGTAAGAGAGGTGGTGAGCAGTGGCGTCATGGGATGAAAGATGGTCGGGTAGAGTTGGCGTTTGTGCTTGCCTCGTGACTTTCAGGATAAGGTTTGAGAGATTATACAACCCGTTAGCTTGAGACAATAGTAGACATGACTCACAGTTGAAATCGCTTGTGATCATGCAGCAGTTTTCTAGCTTCTTCTATTAAGAAGACGTAAAATGAAAGAAGTGAATTTTGATTTTATTGTGTTCTCTGAGCTCAGAGAACACGTCCTCGGTTAGTAACATCTCTTGGCCTGGTCACTCTGAACCCTCTTCGAACCCAATGTAACTTCTTCTAACATGACACGTTGAGGTAGGCAGTAGCTAGGAATGTGCAGTACATTTCCAAGGTACCTCAGTCGGCTAAGGTTCATAACGTCATCATTTGACTCACCTGTATTGCCTAGTATCATTGGCTTGATATCAGTATTTCCCACACGGTGATTTCACCAAACGTGACCAATGATATGAAGACACCTGTGATAGAAAACCTGTAACCACTTCATGTCTTCTACTTTTAACTGCCATATATCACAGCTTCTCAGCACGACAGAATGGACTACAGCACAGTATACTCGTTCTCTAATGGGTAGTTGGATATCTCACCAGTTTGCACTAGTTGGCAAATGCCGAACAGCCCCCCCCCCTGTACCCGATCTGAGAATGTAACTGATTTCAAGGTTTTTCAAAACATTTCTGTCGACAGCCATGAAAAAGAAGTCCGCACTTGTATCCATATATATGTACATATATATTCGACAATATATAATCACTTCCCATCTCTTTCAGAATTTCAAGTATCGTACAAATTATTATTTATTGGCATGGTGTCAACTCATTTTTTACTTCACGGGTGTTCTAATATCTATCTGCCTACTTTGACCAGCTCGTTCCATTTTCAGCTCTTATGTGATATCACAAATTTTCGTGTCTTTCTACTTTACTACTGTTAAATAAGGTCAATTAGTTTTCTTCACTTTCATAAAACATTTAAAGTTAACTTACTTTCCATCCTTTGGCTTGAATCCATAGGTCCATGAATTCATTTAGTTCCACAAGACCAGTTAGGTTATTCTAAATATACGATTACAGGTTAAGGTATTACGTTATGCTAGTCAAAAGTTGATTTGCAGGTTTTTTTCTTCATTCCTACCTTTACAAAATATAAGGTTTGCATGAAGTGTGTGTATTAACTTAGCAAATTTTCCTCGAGGAATACCTTAGTGAGAAATGTAGTTCATTAACTCGTTTTAGGAGTTTGCATTTAGTTTGATAAAAATGTCTGTGAGATGATTGTGGCTGAGCAGTTGTCAACTGCAAAGCTTCAGTCTTTCGTATTTGAACTCAGTTTTCAGTTATTTTTCAAAGAAATAACATTCTGTTTTATCTTATTGTTTTTTTGAAGTTGGTCTTTTCTAAATTCTTGAAACAACCTCTAAAATTTGGCGTTAATAGTTTAAACACTAATGAATGACCAGATGTAACATTTACATGAAGTAGTACTGTACTGAGAATTATTTAAGGCTGCAAAATGTCAATTGCAGTTTAACAACATGTTTACCAAAAGATCTGGTAACCTTTATGCTTATATATAGAAACAGTTTGTAGTCAGCAATGCTCAAGTGTCACAGATTGAGGTGAAACATATAATCAGCACCTCTTTGACTTTTATACTTGTTTATTTTATCAACTCATCAAATTTATCTTCACTGGCTAGCTGTTTCTATCTAATTTCTACTTTATAAGCAAAGTGTAGAATGCAGCCTGAACAGAAAAAATCGTTATTGACTTCATATAGATCTACTGTGCACTGAAAGGGTAATTCAAGGGAAGTATTTCACCTCAGTCAACCTCAGAACTGTATACATGATTTTCAAGTTTCATAGACAGAACTTTGTGTTCACAACCAATGGCGATGACTATTAACCAGTGGCAAGTATGACACTGAGTTTTATATTTATTCTCAGACTACATAAAAAACAAGGGAAAATACGGTTTCTGTGGGTCAACGTAATGCTGTGTAATATTAGTAGTAAATATATATATATATATATATATATCAGAAGAAAAATGTTATACTGTATGACTGGATTAGTATATCAGCAGATGTTAAATTCCGGTCAACTGCATAATAGTGTCTTCCAGTCAACACAAAGTTTAAGAAGCCTTATTTTGACTTCAACACGAGCCGATGGCACATTACTAAAAGATATCGAAAAATGTCGCAATAAGTATCCAGTACTTTTGCTTTCTATTGGTTTTTGAAGCGATATTTTCGTGATCAACAATACAAAGTCATTAAAAATAGCAATTAGACGTGATAATTATCTGTTTAAAGGATACATCTACGGAAGCGACCATACTACGACATAATTCCTTATTGAATCCTTGGAAATGAGGTATATCTGCAAGATAAAAAGATGAGAAGCATTTTGTCAACTTTGTTGTGTAACCAAAATATTCATTGAATTCTGTGAAATTTTGTCAGTAATACTTGTGAATCAATTAAAAATTAAAGTCATGAAGCTTAATGTTGATGAGTTGACTACTTTTTTTGAAAAGAAAACATTTTAGTCTCCTATGTGTTAAAAGTGTTACAAATTAACTTCGAATGCTTTTAGTAACCTCTTATAAACAGTCATGAGGTTCACTAAGAGTTGGTAAGATAAATTAGGATCCAGAGCATAAACTATTTAGCTTGTTTTGTAGCTTTCAGTAACCTTTAGATCACCACTGATTACAGAAATATGCTTTGTATCATTCATTTTGCAGGCAACCTAAAGTTATATTTCATCTGATCATGTGTGACTAGAAGATTCATCCCGAGATCCGTACCTCTTTAATTATCATCAACGAGTTCTGTAAAAAGTGTGAATAGTTATTAGAAATGCTTCTGTCAGTCACATTTGTTCATAGAGTCTTCATTTATGGCTACCGTAACTTCATCTGATCAGTTCACTGCGTCGATCAATATTGTTAATAACAATAAAAGTAAGTGACAATTATTCTGCCTGCCTGGAGAATCAGGTCGGTATCTGTAGATTGTAAATGATATGTCTCTACAACATTCAAGCTGTGAAGTTAAAATAGGGTTGACAAATGCATTAGATAAACAGCTTGGAATGTCATCTAGGTGTTTTATGCACAAGATGACAGTCATAGTCTTCTGCAGATGAGCTTAAATTGTTGTGCTTGATGTTGGACATCAGTATGCAAAAACCCTGATAAAGATTTCATATTCATTGACGCTCATCATTAAGGCATATCTATCTATCCATGAAGTCATTGCTGTTGATCTGAGTCGTGTGGAGGAGGTACAGATTGTCCGACTGGGATCCCCGAGACAAAGGGTGTCAATAACACGGCTGGAAATCAGTTACAATGTCGTAGATGTATGCACTTCTTGACATCCTCTAAAGCTTGAATATTCACACTAACCTTTACCTCAAGATTGTTTATTCGCTCACACTACTTTGTCTACTTTGATATCACTCTTTTTCCATCCACCTGTTTTTTGTATACTACTTTGGATTGTGGCAAACTAAACCGATGCACTTGTATGCGCGTTTCTACCAATAGACTATTCAGGCTACAAATGACCCTGTGTTGTATTGTATTTGGGATGATTTAGTTCAGACAGTCAAGTTGCATAAATCATCCTTAGTGTTAAGAACCACTGCAAAATGAACCAAGACAGTTATCGCTTGTTGCTTGAAGTCGTTCTTCAGAAATGAACTTTGAGATATTACTTTCAAACCAGTTTACTATTGAGGAAAATAAAGGGATGCAAAAATTTTCTGATATCAATGGTGATAATTTTGTACTCATACCCTGTAGTGTACTGTTGTTCAGAAGTTCACCCATTTTTACAGCATCAATAGCTAAAGTTTTTGGATCACGAATAGCCAAAAATTTCCTTTCAATTTCTTGATCTTCTTCCTTGATTTGTTCGGTAAAAAAAGAAAAGATATATCACATTGTGAGCGAAGCTTTCGGAACAATAAACATATTCTGTTTGAGCGAATAAAAACAATTTTATTAACCCTGGAAAACATCTTTACTGGCTTATATCATGGTTTCACAGCTTCCTGTGTTTCTAGCTATAGTGCTGTCATAAACTTTTCGAAATTATAGCAATAATTAAATATAAGATACTCTTATTGTTAACCAAAAGCAAGAACATCTAGAATGTCTAAGAAATAACTCTAGGTATTAGGGAAGAAATGACAAATTTCATTAGTTCGGGTGATTTTTATTACGAATGGTCGGTCTTCGATTGAACCAAATACCTCTTACTTGTGAATAACACAGAAGGATTGCAATAATACAGTCATGCAGTTTTCAAAATCTTGCATAGGTAAATGCTATCCACTGAGTGAACAAGTGGTGGGATCAGGTATGAAGTAAAACAGTCACTGAATGAAGTTTTAAACATGAAATAACTGTAGAGGATTTTGTACATATTTTAATAATTTTTGGCCAATTCTTCTGTTGTCAGAGTCATGGTGAATTAGCTTAAATGTTCTACTTTCAGGGATTAAACTCAGAGGTTGAATCCAGACTCAGTTATGTGCGTCTCAGTAACCAAATATTATTGTATGCTATCATATAATAAATGTGTTTCATCTACAGTGGACTCAAAACTGATCTCACGAAGATATAAGTGACCAGTATTTCAATCTTCTATTTTTTAAGAATCTTTAAGCAGTCATCATTTTTAATTGCCTTTTATTTGCAACCTATGTTTAAGCTGAGAAGCATGACATGTGATCCCTACTGATCTTTGTACTCGATAGTTTGTTGTTTTGTGTAGGTGATTCATCTTGTGACTATTATTACTTGGATAAATTAATAAGCCGTTTTAACATGCTACTTGACACAGTCTTTACTTCATATCTTGGATACTTAATTCAAATTTCTCCATTATTATAGTTGTGTTCTTACATAAGTCGAATAAGAACAATAAGCAGTTGATAGATAGTGGCCCAAACTGCACTTTTCATTCGTTTTAATTTTTCCATTGCAATGAAGGATATTAGAATACACTTGTCCTCTTTCTGTGTCATCCGGTAGCAAGATCGAATCCATACATTGCAACCCAGAACAGTCATAGTAGCGGGGGAAAAGTGTTTTGTGATTCCTAAGTCTGCAAATCGGGCCAAAAGGGAGGCCCAAGTAGTAATTACAACCAGTAACAGCCGTCATTTGGTTGGGTCAGGAACATAAATATTTCCCAGAGTTAGTCAATGCAATTTAGTTTTGGAATGAAACTCCGGCCTTCGACAAGATTAAGATTAACGCAACTTCCAGAAAATTCCTTCAGTTAAATGTTGCAGAAAGTAGCAGTTGCCTGTCATCCAGATCGATGGTGTTAGAAATTGGTTAGTTTGAAGGCAATTGCAGTGTGTGATGCGATGCTGCTCTGTTTTAATCATTTGACTTTTAAGCAGTGACTTTCCAGTCTAAACCCTCAAACAGTAGCTGAGTACATAATGTGCATTACACTAGTCTGTATTGTCATTTCATTACAATTTTCAACTCAAAGTTGAAAATATTTAAAGTGTAGCAGTGAAATGAGAGGTTCTTTGAATTTCATCAACTATTGGTGAGGACTATATATAAGAAACTGTAAAGAGGGAAAATATAGAAACACTGGTCGTATTCTGACGTGTCTCGTGTTAATTATCTCGACAGGAATCAAGAATTTAGATTATTTGTAACTCTGAATAGCTTGTAAAACATTGACGATTGAAAAGTCGTTCATACATTTCACTTTTTCCAGAAGATATAAAAATGAACATGAAGATATCGCATTTTCCTGCCTTTTTATTGACCAATAGTCAGTCAGTTTTCAGTCCCTGTCAGCTGTCTTATTCTCGATGCTTTATTACTCTAGGTGGTGTTTTTATTATTTAGTTGCTTATCACTGTGCAAAGATTTTTTTCACTCCAAGTAGCATCTGTTGGTCACATAAAACTAATCATGTAAGTGGAGACGTTTTCTGTCAATTTCTCCTCATTTCTAAGAGTTAGGTTTTGTATTTTATAGCTGAGTATGGTAGTGTGTGTGTGTAGTACTTAATTGGATGCTTGGTCATTTACTCTTGGAGCAACTGATCTGTTTTGGAGAAAAACCCTAAATTTATTTATCCGATCATTTCAGTCAAAAACATTGTTCCAATGATTTTACTCCTGTCATGTTCAGGACACTGTTTGAAAGACTGACTTTGACTGTTTACAACTGAGATTTGATGGGATTTTCGACCAGTTAAACAGTATATGTATTTATGACGGAGTTAACCACCAAGTTAGTATACACTGGAAAATTTTGTATGTGAACTCTACTGGGGTTTTTAGTGAGACGTCTTGACATGAACACTGGGTCTCATGAAGATTATGACAAATAAATTCATCATTCAAATTCAGTTTTTCAGTTTTATAACGCAAAAGTGGATAAAGCATTTACGTTTGAAACGATGGGTACTGGGTTTGAGTGTCAATGGGAACAACACCACTCAGTGGCGTTCAGGTACATCAAACCGAAGAGGTTCAAATAGGACGAACTAGGCCTCCTGAATTCCCGTGTTACTCATCAAATCGCTCATATCCCAACAAGAGTCAAGTAATTTAATCAGGTATAGCAACGGAAGATTACAAGTGTCAAATACTAAACGTTTTCTGTTATATAAATTAAATTTGTCAGGCCGATAGTGTTGAAAATAGTTTTCTTGAAACCAGTGACTTACCAATAATGTGTCTTCCAGTTTCACCGCTTCTATGACATCCTGAAACAAAGATGATGATTATTTATCAACAATGAACAATTACCTATACATATATGTTTGTCTGAGATAATATTCAATAAGTTAATGGAGTAATAATTAAAAATAAATGATAATAATACTAGAAAACTTGCTTTTTTGGAAGATGATTGGCAGTGTATTGTTTAAATGTTCCTCAGAACTGATGGGTGTCAAACCTGGCTACTTTGCGACATTTCAAAACATCTTGTAACTGATAACTATTATGAGAAGTGCATAAGTGTTTGACCTTTCACACAATCGATAGTCTGAACGCTAGTGCACTTCAAATATTTGCCTTCGACTTCTGTAATCGGTTAGAATCTTTTGAAGGATGTTTAAATCGGGTGTAAAATGTACACTAAATAGGTTTGTATGGAAGACAAGACTTGCAAAAACAAATAGCCATTTAAATTCACTGAACCAGTTACTAACGCCTCTACAATGTTCCTTTTAGATACAGAAAATGACACTAATAGCGGCTTGCTTATATAGAACTAAGTCTGGATAAATTTAGGGATTTCACCACAAGAATGCATATTTTCAGTGTCACAAAGTTTAGTTACAACGTTGAATTCCATTTAGTTAGCTTATGGAATGCATCACATAGTGAAACAGTATTATTTACAGGATGACATTTTAGGCAACATTTATTGGTCACTGTCGTATCAAGAAGTCAACTTCATAGTGTTTAGATATGGTCCACAATGTTTCATTTCTCTTTCCACACCCCTTAAGATTCCGTTTATGCTTACAGATATCTGGGAAATTCTAAATTCTAGGAATATAAAAACTATATTTTGGGGTGTATAGTTAATTTGATATAGTTATTGACAATAAATTCTGTCAAAAATGTTATCTGGTAAGAAGTACTATTTTGCTATGTGATGCATCCGAAAAAAACTGAAACAAAACTCAACTTGAATGCTTTTGAGGATTAACGTATTGGTTTAAGGTTGGTATTCATCATGGACGGACATCAGTTGGAGAAACATTGGAAGCCTGGAAGCACTGGACAGCTGTTTCCTTCTATTCCAACCCAGTGACTCAATGGTAGCGTGCTGACCATGGAAACTGAAGGTCTTGTGTACAATCCATGGTGAGTCATTGGTGCGCACTGCTGAAGAAGCCCATACTAGGGGGGGAACAGCTATCCAGTCGTCCTAGGTTTCGAATGTTTCTCTAAATGATGTCAGTTCATGATGGGTATCAACCTGAAAAGTATGTTAAATCTACCGAACTGTTTGATTTTTTCTCTGACAATAATTCAAGCATCAAAATCTACATGACAATTGCTCACACAGTGTACTAATTTTGTGGAAGATAATTCAGCAAAAGGTTTTACTGAAAGAGGAGGAATCATCTAATATCCCCTTCTATAATAATAATAATAATAGTTTAAGTGGTTCAACGAACGAAAACTTCACTTTAGATAAACCAGTCTAACGGATAAGTATGCCAACCTACCTAAATTCAAATTAGGATTTCTTACTAAACTTTTCTCCTTTACAATATATCATAACTTACTTCAGGTAGACCTTGGTTAGTGTTATCGTCATCAAGTTCCCTAAAAGTAGAATGAACAGATTTACAGATTACTTAAATTGTGGCATACGATTTCGAGTCAGTGTATCAGAGGAAAAATTAGGATGAACTTATAAACTACTCACAAATGAGTTAAACCGATAGATGATTAGAAATACTCGAAGAAATCTCTGGCTATTTTTTTCATATCACCGTAAAATGTATACAATGATTTTTTCACTAGATGATAATATAGCTTAACATGTGTTAAAAGTATGTATGAAGGTAAAACTTCCCAATTTTGGAAAACTGCTTGTTCCAATTGGCTCACACTGATACAGAGTTATTTACTAAACTTTAATTATTTATCAATAATATCTTATCGTCATAAATCAAATCAAAGATATCAGATGATTTTACTTTAATTGAATTTTGTTCTTGTTTTTCAGTCGTACCGTTTTCCTTACCTACAAAATGGGTGTTGAGTCATTCCTGTTGCATGTATTCAGTGTTGAACAGATATTATCCAGTCAACTTCAATCTTCATTTAGTTGATTATTTTCAAGGCCTATCTATAACTACACTCCATTATAGTGTGTAGCTGTGTGTGTTTGGATAATGAAAGCTGCGTTTTCTTCACTTTACTCATGTTTATGAATTGTATCATGGGAAATTTTAAGCTAAGTTCTCATGCTATGATAACATGAATAATGCTGGTAGGCTACTATGATCCCTCTCCTTGAATTAGTATATTGATTATTTGATCCTGAGTTATGTACTGTTGAATTACTCCATAACTATGGACTTGATGATAGTCGTGTGTCGAGGTTTTAACTTTCCAACGTTGTACTGTTACTGATTTTTCAGATGCATATGTTACCACAACCACTTGCTTAGCCATATTTCATTTTCTACAGTTTCTTGAAGGTTATCTAATTAGATTTAAAGTAGTAATTTTCCGTTAATGTGTTTCAGCTACACAAAATTTTTCCCCTGACTGATTTATCATAATACTAGCCAGATTACTGTTATATTTCATCAGGTGTCTCTCAACTTGTGTGAAGTGGGATAATCTAAAATCTCGGCAACCATTCGAATGTGATGATATTCTGTAAGTACTAGCATCCAACTCGTTTTTTTCGCAGTTTGTTTTCAATACAAAATGAACAATTCCAGGTGTTCATTCGCTTGCTTGTAAGATAAGTGTTGATTTATCACCACCTTTTGAGCAATACTGACCATGAAAGTATTACAGTATATTGAAATGAAGAAGTTTCAGTAACTTTCATATCTCTAGAAGTTAGTATTATTGCCAATGTTATTAATATGTACTGATAAATTTGAGGTTGAATGTGTTTCAACCATTTGATAGTATTGCTAATTGAAGATGTTACTGGAAATCCTTTTCGTTACCAGGAATAGACAGGGGATATAACTGCTACTGGTGCATAAATCCCTTATGCTCTGAAGTTTTTATAAAAGCTGAATACTGGTTAAAACCGTACAAGCTCTACTAGTGAAGAAGTGGCTGACAATAAGTTATCATTCCTACACATACTATTATCAGTCAGAAGGAGGCCGGTTGAATTCGAAGGTTTATCCACCGAAAGCCAACTTGGTATTCAATCCCACAAAAACATGTTTCGATAACAGTAGCAGCTATAAGTGAATTGGGCAGTATAAACTTATTCTTGTATTGTTAATTTGAACATTATGACAAAGGAGAAGAGTAAATTCATTTTTCAGCAAAGACCTGAACAACGCATCAGAAAATGCATCACATCCCAACTGCATTAATCAATTTACATACGTTTGTTAATACATGTGTATTAAAAGAATTAATTAGGTAAGACAGCCGCTCGAGGTTGATTGAATATACATCTATGTGCTTCTGAGAACCGGTCTTCTAAACTAATTCGAAGCACATTAGAAATTGATTGTATGATTGAAATCAAGACAGCTATTACCATACTATGTCGATGTGGTTAGGGCCGAATATTGAGATTTATCTAGTCTCTTGCCATGTGCCAATTTAAACCCCCTTCATTCATCCAAAAACAATTTGTGCTTAAACTAAACCTACCATTACTGACCTTCTTACTTATATTTTCGACGAGTTGGTTATCCTGTTCCTAACTTTTCATATGAATAGATTTCATTACTCTACGTTTTATGATCTTCTATGGAATGTATAACCATTATAGGATATATTTTTAAAGTAACCCTCATCCTTTCATGACTACATGAAGTTTCCAAGAGGATTAATTGTTTCAAGACTCTACTTTCGATGGCTTTTTCATGAGCATCCATTAATACTGAGTGACGGTTGAGGTAACGCCTGCATAACTCATTCAACAGCGTTATCTTATTTCTTCTAGTACAGATATATGAGTAAAAGTAAGCTGGGCCAATCCTTTGGTTTCAGGTGTGGGGTTGCGTATAATTTAACAAAGCGGGTGGGGGCTTGCTTATTTCTCTTCTGTACAGAGGATGTTTTGCGTTAAAGCAGGAAAGAACTTTACCTGCGCATACAAAAGAAACACACACAACCACTTCATAAACTGTAGACTATTATAAGATCAAAAGAGGCTTAATGAATATTGAAAATGTACTTGCATATTTCTATCCTCTCCTATTCTTATTCCTTTGTTTTCCTCTTCCTTTCTTTCGTGTAGTGATTTTATCTCGTTTCAATAGTTTTACAAAAACCTTCATTATCGGTACTTTACAAGTGACTACCTGAATAGGGCTTTGGGCATTTTATGATCAAATTCAAGTGGCTTTCATTTCCGCATCACTTCACAGTGAAACTTTCTAGAAGGAGCCCATTAGCACGTTTCTGCATAGTCCTTAAATTTTAATTGCTCTTTTTTTGTTACATTTAAGGCATATCTAACAGTTAGCTGACTTCACTCCCGCTTTAGAATCCACATCTAAATACTTTCATTTTAATTATGGTAATAGTAGTTGTGTTAACAGTTTCTACATGCCTTATATTGTTTACTGTATAGTAAAATGATTATTTTATAACTGTGGGAGCCAATTGAGGCGAAGACATTTGTTCATTGAAATAATCTCTGTCTTGGCAAGATACAAGTACTATGAAAATCTAAATCATTAAGTACGTAGTGTCATTTTAATTTCTGAAATCACAGTTACATCCAGTGAAGTCAACTATTCTTGAGTTTTACGGTCAAACTCCTAATGTCCAATCATCACTCCATCTGGTTATGGTTAAACAGTTTAGAATACAGTGTCAGCTCAAATGGAGCAGAGATCTGTATTCAAAGTTTGTCAACTAGAGCGCAGATTTGTCTTTAATTAATTAAAAATCCGAAATGTCACTTCCAGAATGAAACAGTTGTTCAATGGTCTCAGATTTTCAATGGTTCTTCAAACGATTTCAGTCCATGATAAAAATGTGTCTTAAAATTCTTCTTGCACATCATTGTGAAATACAACATACATTTATTCCAGAGACGATTTAAAAAAGTTTTTTAAGGGTTTTTTTAAAAATGCAAACACTGGCGAATGCTTGTAGTATGCTTTCAAAAAACAGTTATGATGGTAGGTGACTTTAAACGCCCCTCTGACAACTGCTGATCAGGTTCATCTGTGCCATAAAAGTCTACTATCACAGGAAATACCAAATCTAATTGGTTATTTCAGTGGTTTTTAGGATGACCTCTAGAGTTCAAAGACCAATTTAGAAACTACTGAAGTAACCAATTGGGTTTCATTGTTTTGGTTAGACACATAGGTTTTTCCATAGAATAAAAATGCGTAGTTAGTTATTTCAATAGCTGTTACGATAACATTTGCAGTCAACCGTGGCCAAAAAGGCTGTTCTCTCTGAATTTGTTATAAATTAACTAACATTGGTGATCGTATAAGTTATGTACTTGAGATGAAGTTTGTCTGCATAGAGTTGGTTTCAGAGATTCAACCTCTTATACGCAACAGATAGGGAAAGTATGGTATGCTCATTTTACTTTGCAGAGGCAATAACTTAGAGGTTATCAGACTGAGTGTTACGGATAATTGAATCCTAATCCTTTGACTCTATGGTAGTGTCTTCATCAGCAGGATTGATGGTCGTTGGATGGATGTTGAATAAGATCTTGCATTTACAGGATTAGGCAGTCTGGAACAGAATTTCGACATCAGATGGCTTCTTTCTTGTTTTGAATCAAGCTCCAGTTATTGTCAGAAAGACAGAATTTGCAACAGCTTGAAATTTCATAAACCTTTTATTAGCCTGTTTCCAAGTTTATGACTTGAAAGAATATAATATGATTACTTACTCTTGTAACATTGGTACTTGTGAAAGAACGCGTAATATAAAATTCGCTTCAATATCTGGATCAAATGTACTTGGTATTATAACATATGCTCCCGGTGGTACACGAAACTGGGCAGTAACTTCACGTGTATTGATGAACTGTGATTTAGCTATAGGCGATTTAGTTAAAAGTTGTGCTCGTGTCAATAAAGCCGTTTGATCTTCAGGTGCCTAAATTATTATTAAGAAAAATAACAGCTGTTAGAAACCGATCCAGAATGAATTACATTATCAATTGACTGTCTAGGATAGCTGTAGTTTGGCATGATAGTATTCATGCTGGGTAGTGATTGAAGATGAAATGAAAATTTGGACCGCTGCCCGGTTCGGACCAGCAACCACTGGTTCCTCATCCGACGCTCTACCAACTGAGCTAAGAAGTCAGTTGGTAGCTCAGTTGGTAGAGCATCAGGCCGGAAACCCGGTGGTTGCTGGTTCGAACCCGGTAGCGGTCCAAATTTTCGTTTCACCGTCGATCATCATCCAGTACATGAATTAGATTGTTCAGAATGTCACACTAGTGAACCAAAACCATTATGTATGGTAATAATTCTAGCCATTCTTCATAGAATGGAATATATTTACTAGATTTTAGTGATTACATAATCTTCGGCATTTCTGTCAAACACAGAATTTGAGGGCTGACCATTTGGTCGTGTTTCACTGTCGTGTATTCATATTCTCAAGGCCCCGTGAAAGCCAAGTTGAGATACCAACTAATTTTGTGTGGTAATGATTGCACTAATGACAGTAGAAGAAACAGGAAATTGACTATATTTCAGCAAATGTATAGCTGTACACTGGCTACGAAACTTAAAGGTAACGAGTTCGTTCATGAACGTGGTCAAAAATAGACATTACCATGAAGTTCAAGTGGTTTTATTCTCCTCAAAACCTCGGCTTTCTTTGGCAGAATTTTTGACGTCAGTTTGCCCTAGACTATCAGCGAAATAAAGCCCATGGTGTACCACACTTTTCAATGAGTTTGTGTGCATTATCAGTAAGTATTAAAAATAGTTTTCATCTTTCAGTAAAATAAACTTTGAGTTCTGAAACTGATTAAGATTTTTATTCATAGTTGTATTTGTTTTTGTAAGAGTCATTATTCATAAAACACATCGATACGAACAGCAAGAAAAATCAGTCACCACCTTTCTAGGTCAAATATCAGCTTTTAGTACTAACAATGAGGAAGAACTGTTTTTATTAGTGAATTGTTGACCTTTGGACTGAAGGGAAACTTAATAATTCAACTTGAAATTAATCGTAAATTCTAATAAGCTACTTAAAAAGTTGTCCTGAGTTGCATATTTCCACTTCCTTGACCAACAAACTCCATAGACTTACTATCCGGTTACTTTCTTTGGCTCAGAGTGATGCAGATGTGGGTGTAATACTCGACAAACCGAGACGCCATTACTTTGTATTCAGTCATTTGTCCCTAAGATCCAGTACTTTGTTTTACTCACATATAGGTGAAGAAGCAATTTTACTAATCGTTCACTTGACTTTTAGTAACTGGGGGAATAAAAAATACTTTAAAACATGACTCTGTTTTTTGAAGCGCTTAGAATTTGTCTATACGTCTAAAATTCTCTAGATGCTAGCCTCTTTTCTAGCCTTCAGCTAAAGTAGAAAAACTTTAAGAAAGTGAATTGACCATTTTGTCTTATGTGGATTAACTCCGCAGTCTTTCTCTTCAGTTCGGCGACTCATTATCGCAGTATAAATTATTTTTTGCTACGTGGCTTAATAGAGATGACCAAAGGCCGCAGACCAGAGTTACGTACTTCTTGGTTCTAGTCAGCAAAAATAATCCAAAGAGTTGAAAGAAGTTATGTCTAGCTAGAGATTCCAAATCACGTCTTCAAGTGATTTAGTCTGTAATGTTACAGCCGAGATATTTAAATCTTGTTAATGTTAGTATAAAATACTCTATTGGTTTTGGGATGTCATTAGAAAGAAAAAAGGTCCTTCCATAGAGCAATCACCAACGTCATTGGTTCACAGGATCACGTTTGAAAGCTTATCGAAAGTAGTTTTTAACAAAGACCAACATGAATCTACTCAGTAACTTACATTATAAACCATAAAACCAATCGGTTGATATTCCGCTCCAAGTTTCTTCCTGACATCTTTTTGCATTAAACCGATAATAACTGTAGATTTCAAATCATTGTCATCGGTATCTGGATCTTGAACAGTGATACGAAATTGTGGATTTGTCCAATAGGTTGCTTTTGAAAAATAATAGGGTAAACACGTTTTATTGAGCTAATTTTATTAGTATATGTTTGCAGATTAAACGGTTCACTGAGTTTCTCTCAGTAGTCACCAGTTGAATTCAGAACTCCTATGTAGTCGTTTTATAGATTGTTACACTGAATATACCTGTATAAACAGGACTTAAAACTTCAAGTGTAAAGGACACATAAATCTCAATAAAGTGACAATATTTTTTCGAAATAAAATGAACTGATTGTACTTTACTACCACTTACATTACATATACCCAAAGACACTTATTCTTGCTTGAATAAGAACTATTGCACAACAAATGTTAGGTGTTCTTAGACTTTGTAATTCACATAGATTACTTTATGCTCTTACATAATATTGTTTTTTTCTTTTGTGTCATAAATACAACAAATTGTAATTCAAAACTTTATAAATTCATTATAGTAAAGTTAGAAAACACTTACATCGATTATTTATGCAACCACCAGCGTTTACATTGCGCTGCCATTGACCAGAGAAAATGGCTTCATCCAATCGTCTTTTACCACGAAAATCTTGATCATACTCTAAACTTTCCAAACCTAAATGGCATACTTCAACTCTTGAAAAACATGTGACAAAATCTTCATATGACATCCTGTTTTTAAGGGTAAATAAAAGAAATTTTTTTAAGCAATTACTAAAGTACTTAAAAATATGACTTCAAATTTTTGAACACAATAAAAATGACTAAATTTTCTTATGTAAATGAAATCAACTAATTTATAGCTAAAGCATTTTGAAAATACAGTTTTTTTCTTTGAGTTTTTAATTGAAGAAGTACTTTTATGACCATGGCAGGTCTCATGGAACTGAATTTTGGAATGCAGCAAAACCGCTGGAATTTTTTACCCCAGTAATACAGTTTAAAAATCACTATTTGTTCCACATGAATCTTTCTGGGAAGATCGAAATATTGAGGAGTAAAATAAGATATTTGCTTATTTTACTTGTTATAATACACTACGTTGGGATTGCACAAGTGAAATATACCTTACGTAATATTCCACATAGATTTTTACTTGGTCGTGGCTAGCAGAGAAACCCAGGATGTGCGTTTCGTCCTGTTTAAGACTCATCGGTTGGATATGCCTGAAACCCGTTGTGTGCTACCGTTCCACCAGGTTAATGAGGCACGACAGAAGTTTGATTTATTGTTTATAAAGCGTGTGAACAGCAAGCGTTACAAACCAGCACTCTGAGCTGTTGTTAATTAATTTGCGTTCACGTTCTCATGTTATCTGTTGAATGATTATTTCATCTTATAAAGGTATTTTATCTCAATAGTATTGTTTTTAATAGTATTGCATGAGTTATTCATGAAATTTGATTCCCTGTAATTGATGGCTATCATTGGACCTAATAGACACTGATATTCTTTATAAGGTAAATGCTAATAGAGTCACCTGGCCTGGTGATGGAACTTCAAAGAATAAACCTCAAAGCTCAGCAAAACACCAAAAAATTATCATATGTACACAGTGTCAAACTCAGAGCAGTTGACACTGAGAATTTTCAGCCACCACAAGCTTTCTTCAAGAAGTAATTTGGCAGTTGCTTCCATACTACGGTTTCAGTGCCACAAATATTTATCAACCTCATTCAACAGCTATATGACAACGCCACATGTCAAGTGATTCACAATGGAAAGCTCAGTGACACCTTTGAAGTGGAAGTGAAGACATGCAGAAGTAAGACAAAGCTGCCGCCCACTACCACCGATGATCTTCCTGATTGTCGTCCACTCGACTGAACTGGACTGGACTGGATCATGCACATACAACTGTGAGGAGCTGTGAGATGGGCATACGCTGTTTGAGATGACAGATGAAAATACTCTAACAGATTTGGATTTCGTCGACAATGATGATTTATGTTCAGTGTCTTGTTGCACAAACTCGAAGATGTACAGGCAAAAACCAACAAGTTGACAGAAGAGGTGAGGTGAGGTGAGGCAGCGAAGATGGGACCGACTTCAGGTGAATGTAGAGAGGACAGGGGTGATTAAGACACCCAACCAACCACAACAACGACAACGACAACAAGCACCAATCACCATGAACGGGAGAAACCTAATGGAAGCAGTCTCTTTCACCTACCCACCTACCTAGACAAGGCAAAGCAAGGCAATGCAAGGCAGCATCGTTTCAACTAGAGGTGTTGGTGGTGGCACACATGTGGATGTGAAAGCAGCCGGGATCGGAAAGATAGCAAGACAGGCTTTCATTAATCTGAGATCAGTGTGGAGATCTACTGTACTGTACTGTACTGCACTGTACTGTACTGCAGTCAGCGTAAAGCGTGAACAAGATTCGGATTTTCAACACAAATTCGGTCAAGTCAGTGCTTCTATGTGATGGTTCAGAGACTTAGCGCGTAATGGAAAGCATTTACAACAAACTACAGATATTCATCAACAGCTGCCTACGCTCACTCGATAGTGAAGATCAGAGGACCGGCAAGAATAATCAACAAGGAACTCTGTCTGGGCAACGAATCAACCACGAACCAACCACCCGACAAATATGCAGAAGAAGAGAGTGGAGATGGAATGGATTGGACACACACTGAGAAGACCTATTGGGGACATCACACGCCAGGTTCTCGAGTGGAACTCCAGTGGGAAACAGCGAGTTGGGCATCCGAGCTGAGGGTGACATGGAGGAGGTGGTGTAAGTAAGAAATGAGAGCTTCAAGCTATCGTGAAGCCAGGTTCAAAAGATTGCAAAGAAGAGAGTGCAATGGAGGCGTGCTACTGAAGCCCCGTGTTCCATCATGAACCCAAGGGAAAATAATAATAATAATAAACATTCCTTAGTAATGAACTAAGCATACTAATCGATTGCTGATTGGTAAAGAATGTTACGAGACTTCTTTTTGTCTATTGCTAAATTTCCAACGAAAATTAATTAAAGTAATGTACTATTCCAATTCCTTAGTTTGATGGATGTGTTTGCATACATGATTTACATAATTGAATAAAAATAAGAAGTTAGCAACATTCTCCTAGCTAATGTTTAGAGAAGACTTACTGTTGTTTAGTTGTCGCATACACGCTATACCTAAAAACTATCCATGCTAGTTCAGGAATCCGTAACCCATTTTATATCAGTGTGGATGGGGAAGAAAATTTTATTACTCCTCAAAGATATTCATTCCGTTAAACAACATGCATAGAAACATGTCATTCATATCAATCAATGGGTTTTTTTCAGTTTTATATTGCTTATGAAAATATGAAACATTTATTTATTCATTCTTGAAGATGAGCTTGAGAATATTGCACCGAACGGTAAAACCTTTAGTTACTCTTTTTTAACTAGTGATTGAAATCCATAGATCAAGAATGAAAAGTGTTAATTAGGTTGAGTACCGTGGTGGAATATATTTTACTTTAGATGTTATTGAGTAGGTTCTGAGCAATAAACATTTTGTACTTATTGGCACTCATCATTAAGGCATATTTGTGGTCGTGAGGAAACTTGGTTCGTTTGACTGTTTCATTTCATAATTAAGTCACAGTTTTTACCGTTAAGGTATTTAGGCTTTGCTGTTTGCAGGATCAAACGAATGAATACTTTGTAATATCATCGGTTCATTAAACTAAGGAAAGCTTTTCATATCTGTAAGTGGTACTAAGGTGCTTACCAAATTCAGTAGTAAAATCTTATCAGCAATAATTTGGTACTTGTACATTGAAAAAAATCCTGATAATTGGTAGTTCCAGCTGGAAAACTATACTGACAAATTCTCATAAAAATTTTAGAATTTCCAATGTGAATTGTACAGTTTTCAAATAAATTCACTGATCTTCAAAAGTAGATTCTGTTTTTATCTTCCATAGAAACAAACAACTGAGGTTATTTTTCTTGTTTTAAAATATTTTAGTAGTTACACGGTGAACAATGAGTGTTACATAACCGAGTTAACATTATTACATAAAATCTAAGACAATATTTTTATAAAATGAGAAGAAAAATATTCTAGTCTCAAAATTTAGGTTTTGTCACCATCCATAGTTGGAAACCGCTAACAACGGTCCTTGGGTTTCATTAAAGAAATGGTAGTGATATAGGCTTTAGAACACCATCGCAAAGGGTTGAGAAGAGAGAATATGTGATAAACCTAGATAAATTGACTTTAACTGACAAAACTCTTCATACTTAAAGAAAGTTGCGGTTATTGGTAGCTGCCTGCATCTCGCATCGCGAACCATGATGTCTTGAACTTTCTCAACAAAACGCCTGTTCATATTTAATGAAGTTAGTTGTATATAAACAACCCTGCTGGGATGAGATTTAAAATTAACCGTTAATTTTGTGATTAGTCTGCAGATTATCTAACGATTTTCTAGAAAAAAAATGATATTCGTGAACATATTCAATACAGCACATACAAACATAGCATCTACTATTTATATCTTAGAATTTTATCACAAGGATTTTCTCTTACCAAAATTCTCCGTCCTCTCTAAAGTTTAAATGTATTTTCCTTTTTTCCTCCTCAGTTATTTCTCTCCAATGAGGCGAACCGTCACACCATGCACCTTTCCATTCATGACTGTCACCCCATGGATTACGTAAGCGCATTAACCACTGAAGACCACCACGATAACTAACCTAAGTTAGATAAAATCAGCAGTACACTCATGATTATATTTCAAAGGACAATAAACTGTGACTGATGTGTTTATGTGTACCATGAAGTTATGTGGATATAATACTTCAAGAAAAAGAAATGAATGAAAGTTTGTTTAATGAACGTCATTCTTATTTTTGAGATTTGACCCATTACCTAAAATATAATGCAACTATTCACTAACCAACTGAGTGACCCTAAGCATCACTTGAAGTTTTGGATTTAATCAGTTTCATGAGCATTTCAAAAGATTCTGTCTACATTATCAAATGAAAACCACTGCAATTTCCAAATGATTAGTCCGAAAGAGGAATAGATACGAGTTCCGTATTCTATTACAAGACACTTTCAAATAAATAATAACGAGCAGATTACAGTAAAGATATCAACATATGCTGACGGAGACTATTGCATTCATTTATTTAAGTCTAAGATGGGAAAGATGAAGGAAAGTAGCTTTATAAATACAGCATATTGTTTATCATTCTTTAATGTACATGTTCTTAAGATAGGGTTCTGCAAACGGTTACTACCTTCCAAAATAGTCTATAAAATCTTGAGGCAGCATCACTGAAAAGTATCAAGGAAATTATCAATAAATCTGTAGTCAATTTTCAACAATGGGATTAATTCCTTCTCAGGTGGTTAGGTAGTGAATTAGATATATGTATTAACGTGCACCGAACTGATTAGATCTCAGCAGATGCATGACATTTCTCCTGATCACATGCACCTTTTGCTAATAAGTCGCAACACAGTAAACATCAGAAACCACCTAGATTTTTAAACAATAATTAGAACATTAGAAAATGACCTAATGGCTTGAGAGGAATATATACTAGGCATTCACTTAAAATAATGCAGTTTCAAGAAACCTTATGTCTTGAGACAGTCTTCAAGGACAGAGTAAAGAAAAACTATTCTAAAATGTTTTTTTATGCAACTAGCTGATATATTACCATAAAGTTTCGATAAGTAACTGGTTAGTTCTTTTAATATCAGGTGTATACTGATCTCATAACTAGCTATACATGTTTGATTTGACCTGAAATTCACTCAAATTGTGCATGAAGTCTACTTAGAAATCTACTGTTGGTCACCTAATCCGGATATTTGAATCAATAATGTTGTTCTCAAATGAATGTGTTTTATTCAATGGATTATTTATGCTATTTGAATGGTATAAGACAAAGTGTGTAAAGAGCAACTCCGAGTAATCTGATGATATTTGTAGAAAATGAAGTTGGTTCGCTATTTACTTCAATTGGAAATGTCTCTGGTGAATTATTTATGCAGGAATCCTGCCAAGAAGTAATTTGTTGTGCGTGTGTGACATTGACTTGGGACACTAAACAATTTTACGCTTTCAGCAACCTACATTAAGCCTTAATAATTTCCAAGTTCCCATATATCATCATTCGGTTAGTAGGCTTCGATCAACCTTAGAAAATACATCGTGACAATCATGACTTCTTGAAAGAAAGGGCTAAAACTCTGTCACGAGTTATCATCCGACAACACAGCTACAAAGTTTGAACAACATAATTCCTGGTTTATTTTCTTTTTCCTCTCTCTTAATGTGTTTTCAAAGAGCCTGGTATTTCGATGGATCTTCTCTTTCTATACTTTTGAGGAAGGTAGAAAATTAGGACACTTTGTCTTTTCATAATATTTTACTATGGATAGCCAATTTTAGTATCTCAGGTGTTTTGGACTTCAGCTTGAAATCCATCAATACAAGCATCTAATTAGGTGTACCGAGGTGTCTGTCAGTCACCACAACGGCATAATATTCAAGTTGCTGTTCAACCAGAAATAAATATATGACAGGCTGTACTGGCTTTGAAAAGATGATATAAGAGCAGTGCAAATCAGTAAAAAAAGGCAGAAGATTATGTAACCATTTGACTGTATATATTCAGCTGAAATAACCGATTACAGTCAAAAGAGGTCCCATTATAGTTAACTGATTTTAAAGAGGTTGATCGAGGTAGGGATGTCTTTTTTATATCACGTTCAAGATGATCATATCGACTATCTGACAGACCATCAGGCTAGACACGCGGTGGTTGCTTGTTTGAATGCGGCCGTGGTCCAGATTTTCATTTCAGCTTCAATCATCACTCTGTATAAATTCAAGATTGTTATAAATGGCCTCACTGGGATTTTACAAATATATTTCTTTATAAACCCTCAAAATTTTAAAAAAAATAAAATTTTTAAATATATGCAGCAATTTACTCACAGGATATACACCTGTTAGACTGTAGGCATGACCAGCAATGAGTCCATTATCCAACCTCTGTTCAACCACAGTTGACTGAAAGAAAAATGAAAGAGTAAGAGAATCATTGATCAAAATACAAAACCAAGCCTTTTCATATATTTAAATGCATCGGTGTGACACTAGTCTACGAGATTTATATCAGTTAAGAATTTCTGTTTTATCACAGAACTGGGATACAACGTTTTTATTGTAATATGCCATATGGCCACTTGAAAGTAGGGATTCCATACTACAGAGACTGGTTAGAAATAATTAACCTATTCATTTACATATATCCCAATTCAGTGGACCGAAAAATTTGAATTTCCTGTTCGTTCACAAGTTCTGGAGAGTTGTTTGAGATAATAGTACCAATCACTTGATGCCGAGCCTCATGAATTGCTTTATGATAGCTAAGACAAGAGTTTTTTATAAAGAATTCCGATAAAGTGAAAATTTCACCCATTCATCCAGGAGTAAACATGGTTGCGGAAAAACTTAACTCCTGTTTTATATAGTAACAATGATTCAGACTGTTATTTGATACAACTGTTTGAATACTGTTGAGTTCTTACGAAAACAACCTTGTTGCTCACATGCTACTTTACTCAGTTAAGGTTTATCCAGAACCGATGTTAATTATAAAGTGAATGTTCCCTGAATAGATTCATAGTGACTTCAAATGAAAAATTTCCATTCTGAACATTCAGAAGTTAGTCTGATCAATAAAAATTACAAGAATGATTCTTTTTTCAAACCTGATATGTATTTGTAGTGAGTATGTAGTGTTATCGACTGGAAAAGAAATGTACGACTTCGATTCAGTAAACGCTTACTTGGTGCAAAGTTTTCTGAAGACACTAAATGATGATTTGTGAATCTTTGGCAAACGTTTTACACATTCCAAATATAAGTTATTGCTCGATCACTTGTTTGAATTGAAACCTTTTCTGATCATAGGAGGTGAAATGGTTGACTGTACTAACCCTTCGATTACTAATAAAGTCACTCAGCTTTGATAGGTCAGTTCTCATGAAATCTCAACATGAATGAGAAAGGCTTGATTAACTTTTGTCAGTTTACTTTTTTACGTCTATGTCATTCTGCTTTGAATCTTGAAGTGGCAATGAGTTTTGGCTAAATGAACTGTTATGCAGCATTGCCAAGATCTATATTGAAACTGACTGACTGACTTAGTGAGTGCCTTAGTTGCAGTATCATAGTGAGTATTTAGTAATATCAAATTTAATCAGCAATGTTTGAATATCACATTCCATTATTAAGGATTGACTTTAAAAGTCACTCTAACAACAACTGAAATAGCCGATCAGACTTCTCTATTTTATGAAAATCTACCCTTCCAACCGAAAAGAAGAAACCTAAATGGTTATTTCTATCGTTGCTAGGGTGGCCTTTAAAGTCGTCCAATAATTGGTGGCTTTAAAGGACGACCTAGCAACTGATGAGACAGCCAATCACATTCCTTTATTTTATCGAAAGGTACTTTACCCTGCGAAATACGAAAGACTAACTGGTCTATCCATCAGTTACTAGGGTGGTCTTTTAAGTCAATCTTTCGATAACCTTTTTGGGTTGTCATACCAACCAATCTGGTTGTGGGTGTGGACATAGACTTGACTTACAAGTGATGGGCCATGAGTTCGAATAACCCTACCTACTTCGGTCGGCTAGGCCAATTAGTACTGCTATAGGCCTTCAAACAACAAGGATTACTTTAGCCTAGGACATAAATGTTCACTAGGTTGAGCTATTTTGCTTGAGTTGCATTCAGTCGAATATCTGTTCCATTATTGCCTCAAGGATGAATTGAATAATGCCGTATCGACAGGACAAAACCATCAAGCTTAAGTGACTACAATCAGCTGGTTTGAACACCTTGGTTATTCCAGCTAAATACACTTTAATGAAAACTGATAATATCATACAGCTTCTCATTACAAACTGATATCAGCTGGGTGACAAGTAAAACTAACAAACATTTTCGAATCACTTGAGGCATATCAGTGGTGAAAAACCATGACTTCACACTGGACCTAACAGAGGAACATCATGTTTTATCATGTTTACTTTACTGTCCGGCCGATGCTTTGCAGCTTGATGGGTTACAATTTGCAACCCTTCACAGTTCTCGACAAAGCAATAGTTTATCTGAAACGTGTGGTGCATTAGTGCAATACTTTTCGAACAGTCTGATTGCACACTTTTATTGCATGCTTATATGAAGTATGACAAACGACAAGTTAGTTTCGTTGAAATTAACGAAGAGAATTAACTAATACAACAATCACATTGAATTGAAGCAAATAAGACTTTGAACACAAAGTTCCCTTATGCATAAGTACATCTTTATAATCATATGATCACTGTTACAGTTACTACTAAACTTTTGAAGCGTGAATTGCGTCCGAAAAAATGGTGTTCTTAATTTTGCGAAGCAAAAGGGATCAAATAAAGTTTTAAACCGAATAAGAGATCTACCAAAGAAGTCGCTCCTTTTGACACTGGATGTCAGGGAAATACCCTGAACCTTCATAAAAGATCGTGGATAAGATGTCATTGTCAATTGTGTACAAACACTGTCAGCTCAGATATAGCCTTATCCAGGTGTTGAGTTATGAATACATTTAACAATCTTAAGAGAATTTTGTTAAGGTATATCCTACGCAGTATTTCCCTGAAGTGTGAAGGCTTTCAAGGCTTTCTACTACTAACATTTACGATTTTTCAAAAAATAATGAAGGCGTAACTTACATCAATACTGCATCCCATTAGGCAGCAACGTTGAGCGTAAACTTTCAACTGGTTTAAGAGGTCTCGTGGACGTTCTTTTTCATTCAGCTCAAGTGATTCACAAATACCACCAGTCAAATCTTCCATTGCTTCACTTTGTGTTCCTCCAGATAGGTGAGCATAACAGCCATTCAACCTGATAATTCAGAATGTTAGGTAACAAAGAAGTAAGTTTAAGAAGTGTTAAGTCGTTTCATTAGTAACCTTTGTTTAAACAAACCAACTAATTGGTAAAAACTTTATATTATAGTGGAAATCAATTTTAAGGTGCAGTTTTATAACTTATTTTGCCTAATTTAGTCAAACATGTAGCATTGTACTACCTGAGGAGATTGGTTAGCTGTGTCGCCCCATTTCACAACTCCTCAGTAATGCACAACAATGAAACTATAGGGGATTGAGTCAAGGCTAGCCTCACATTAAGGAGATTACCATTCAGCCGTTGGGCCAGAGCCCAAAAGTTTTTTTCAACGGCGTGATGTCACCAAGCTAGTGATCAAAGCTAGGATGAAACAAATTTCAAGACTCTATTGGTTCTCTCTGAAAACTGTCTAGAAACGAGTAAATCCTTCACAAGGCAAACACTTTGACTTACTACGTTACTATGGTAAGCATTTGTTGTATTTAATAACGAATACTCATTGAAATGTCATGAGGGCCTGAAAAGACTGAAAATTGATTAGGGGTTACCTTATGATGATTTACCGATAAAGGGTATCATTTGAGAAACAAAATAAATGGGATTTAATAGAGATTTCAGGCCCCTTTTGACTTCCACAGTCTAAATCAAAGGTTCTGCACCAATAATCTGATTTGCTATGTTCACCTTTATCTCTGGTGTTTTGGTTCTTAATATACGATTACGTTTGGCACACAGTCAGTTAGACTATAAACATGGGAATACAGATACCCAGTTGAGAATATGCGTATGTAATTCACGGCTGACTTGCTCCGTCAGAGTAGTACTGTATAAGTATTTCATCCTCCTCTTAATATGGTTACAGCAAACTATAACCTACAACTACTTCTGACTGAGAGTTCACTGGCATTTAAATATAGCATCTTATGTTGTAGGATAGGAACTTTTGACGACCTTACTCAAGCTGAAATGATAAAAACCACAGTAGATTTAATGCATGTTTTACACAACGCATCTAGTCGAACTCAGAATATTATTAGGAATGTTTCACTAACTAGTCTAAATTACTGCCAAGTGCTATAGTCTGTGACATGACCACTGTACATCATTACTATCCACGATTGGACGGGAACCAATGGTTACGTCATCGACTCATTTTTCCTGGACTAACATTTTTTTAAACCAAGCATAACAAATTAGTGGTCAGTTATCTTCTGTTTAAGATACTTTTAAAGACCAATGCAAAACCTACTTAAAGTGAACGGTTGGAAGAATTAAACGTTAGGCCTGTCACAGAATATGTTTACTTAGCTCGTTTTCCTGTCCTCGACTTGACAGTACTCATCCTGTGATACTGGTGAGGAAAATTGTGCTATCGATTCAGTCTACCATAGGTTTCAGGGTGAAGGTAAATCCTAGGAACACAATTATCAATCGTCAAACAATATCTGACTACCACTCATACAGAATCATGGTCAACCTACGTGGTTCCAGATGAGCAGTCTGAAGTGTTATGTACAAAAACGGAATCCATTTGCTGCGATGCAGTGCTTAATAAATCGTAAATTGTTTTCAAAGGGAAAATGTTTTAGCCAACCAATCGTTAGTGAACAGCACTGATCAGAGTCTATCAGTCGAGTTTGCAATATGGCTGCTAGGCCAAATGGCACAACACTGCGATGCACTGTAAGACGCAGACTCGAATCACCAATGGGACACCACTGTTCTTATGAATGCAGATATACCACTGCTGATGTGTGCCAATAAGCATGAAACCTATGCTCACGGCTTCCTATTGATCGGCTCTTAACATTAAACAGTCAACAAAATTTTAAGTATGGCAGCCGCTAAAATGTAGAATAGTCTGTTATGGGTGTTTCATTGGATAAAATATTGCAAAGGAGTCTGTTGTGGAAATATAAGGAGATTACACGAGGTTTGAGCAAACTAGATATTTTTGTTCATATCGTTAAGAAAGGAGGTGAAGTCAAGATATTCGGGTTTAAGGTCAGGTATACGTGACACAAGATAACAGACGCGGTGTCCGGTCATAGTCCCATTACACTTATGCACAATAATTTCAATACTCCTCCAATATCCCTGGGACATGAATGAAAACATTATCCCATATAACTGGTTCCTTCGAAGAAAACATTTTCATCACTTAAATCATAATTTTCCGCCTAAGTGCTATCAATCATCATAACGTTTTTGTAGAGTTTGACCGTATATTTTCATTCCCCTGAATTAACTTCATCATCCGATTTCCACAGCTATGTTCGTCATATGCATCGCTTGGTGCTTGAAAACAGAACATAAACTTGACGATAATAATAATAAACCTTACTTTGCATACGCTTTTTCTAATAAAGCTGACCAGAATTCTGTAGGATCATTTGAATGCATAAAGGCAAGACTATTACGACCTCTACGAACTGGAAGGCGGTCATCAACAAGAACTTCAACCCATTGACCGAATCGCCAAAATCGAAAACGTATAACACCAACATAATCAGGTCCTTGTAAAACTTGGTTTTTTGGCACCACGTGATCGAACAGCTGCGGATAACCTGCAATAGAGGCTACCACTGCAAGTAACCAACAATCGCCTGAAATATTTTTTAAAAAACAAATATTTTAGTAGGCAAGTTTGAAATCTTAAAGTTCATATTTATCTGACATAAGAGAGATAACTTGGTTCCATTGATCAGTTCATTTTCGTTGGGTTAAAAACCATTAAAAATACAATTTATCGATTTTGACAGGATTGCTCATGCAGTAGCACGGCAAGAGAGAACAAAATATCTACTTCATAGACAAACAAACATGCTGTAAATTAACGCCAGGTTATGACATAACACATTCAAAATATTTAATTGCTCAATCTATCACTGAAGCATACTTCATGAAGGATATACTTTGCTTCAAAATCCATGTTACTGGATTGAATTAAAATTCTAGTTTTGTTACAGATCAGATATCAGTAATCAACCTGACTACTTCCGTTGATTACTAATAACTTCATATATTAGTGTATTTGTTCCTTTGAATATATAAGTATCTTCATTTCACCGGCCAATATTTAATCAGTTTTCTTGATGATAAACGATAAACTCGTTCTATTTTTTACCCTTCAAAAATCAACTTGTATAATGTTTGGAATCGTTTTCTGATGATAAGTTTACAGATTAATTGTTTGCTTTCATGAATATTCTCAACGCTTTATTTAAAAAAACAGGTAGTATGAGTAGAGAAACAGTCATCGCAATGCAGCTGCAGTAGGACACTTTTGAAGACTTATAATTTATTAACAACTTAAATTACTTTGAAAAATACCTTATCTCCTAGAGAAAGCTAAGAAAAATTAGAGAGCTTTGGGGAGTTGTGTCATTCTAGTTTGAACCACACCATAAGAAATTAAATAGGTAACCTTTTTGAATCGAATAAGAAAAAAATCGAAAAGCATGCTGTTTTCATATCCTTACAAGTTTCAACTTAGTCGTCGTTTGGAAGAAGAACCTGTGCTTTCGATAAGTACCTTAGTTTCTTTAGTCGATTGATTAACTGCGACTAGATAATAATAATAATAATAGTCGCTTTATTTTAAGCAACATTTACGATACAATATGGAATTTTCAGCATAGAATATTTTGACAAATTCGGTTTCTGTATAATATTTTTAACAGAAATAATTATAACGTCTGCATAGTGTTAATAATAACAATATTGAAGGGATAAGTGTGAAACGTGCACCTAGTGTTAAATTAGCATCAGTTCTTGATTCAGAGATTAACACTAAATCGAGTGCAATTCAGTCAGCCAGCACAGAAATTCACAGTCCCATACAGGTATCTTAGGAATAGTAATGTGGTATGTTTTTGAGCATTTACAAATACATTTCCAACCGATGAAACATTTTTCCTTTGTTTTATTCTTAGCTTGATAAACGAAAGTTCGAAAACACTTTAAAAACGTGCGACAGTACATGATGGCTTCAGAAAATATTTAAAAGATTAAAACAAACTAAAAAGGAAGAATCTGATAGAATGTAATCGGTGGAACGTTTTTAGGTAGCCTAAGATTTAAGCAGGCCGCCTTACCTTGTATCGTATCTCATCCACTTTAGGTTCCAATTCACATGGAAATGTGCATCGACTTTCATTTGATCCAAACGTAAATCTCTAAGATGTTTCATAGTAAATGTAGAATAACAGTATTCTAATATATGACCTTTATCCCAAGTGAAACCATTTCCATAAGTCTTCATATGAATCAGTCAACGGATGATGCATGATGGAGCTTCACTACCATGGAACTTTCATATAAGCCAGCAAAGAAAGCATCTGATTATGTCTACACAATTTAGATGATGTTCAAAAGTATGGTGTTTTGAAATAAATTCTACTTAGTTCATTTATCACATTCCAACGTATATTTTTGCATTATTTGTAAAATTACACCGTTATTACAAGCCTGTTGTGTGTCCTTTAACAGTTCTGGACATGAAAAATAAAATATTCTTGTATTCTGTCTCCCGTATAAACTTATCTTTTTAAAAAAAGCCGTTTTCTTTAAGGAAAATATAAACCAGACCAATGGGTATGTTGGGATCAGTAAGGGAACTTATATCAACTACTCATGAGTTTCCTCGACACTGATCGAAATAAATCACTTCAGTATCGATAGCCATAAGCATTTTCCCTACTTGTACCTTTAAGGTTTTGTTAGCATTATGTATTAATTTTCTGGGTCTTCTTCACGATTCGTCTTCTTATGACGAACTAAGATGCTCCCTATAATCTTTCACATTGTTTTCCATTTTTCCTCCCTTTCTTCTCGGTAATTTTACTTAAATGTAGTGATGTCAAGTAAAGCATCTTTGATTCACTTGATAATGGGTTATATTCTACGCGTTTTGTATCTCTCAATTTAACTATTCTACTGAGGTTTTATTTCGTAAACGTCGTAACTACGTTTTTGGCCTGCTCAAAGAGGATGTTTGTATTTATCTAAAAAAGCTGATAGTCCCTTGGTTCAAAGCTAAGACTTGGTCAATGGTCTACCTTATGAAAAGAGGAATCTTACTATTACGTAAATAGAAATATTTCTTCAAAAACATTGTTTACTATTACAGTGTAGTAAAGATGATTTTTTCTTGATTCTAAACGTTTGATACTTAAAATAAGGAAATTAATTGACTGATTGATGATCATGTTATCTCTGTGTGATTCATAGACTCAAGGCCGGTTAATGAAACTAACTGATTTGGATTTTATTTGAGAATTGGCACCATATCTTGGACGATGTTCCTAAAATTAAATATTCTAGCTGTGCCTGGTAACACTTTCAAACTTGGAAAGCAAAATAAAATCATCACAGCTCAGCATAATTCAAAGATCAGATTGGTCATCGTAATAGTGTTTTTTTACTCCTGAAAAAAAGGAAACCTTACCCAATGCTCCTTGTTCGACATCAAAGCGGCTTGCACCTGCGGCGAAAAATGTAGCCTTTGGATTTATTTCCTTCAAATTCAAACAGGAAAACAAATAGTTGAGTAGCCATTAAGGTAATTAGTTGATTTTAAGAAATTTTATTGCATAAAATGACATCTGTTGAAGAGTCAATGAAAAGAAAGGCTACAACGGTAAAATAAAACTTTCTATTCTGGTATATACCACAGTGAAATTTGAAGAACTTAGTAAAGACTGGTTTAAGGCTTTATAGTCCTAATCTGAATGCATTACTGCTAAGACGCTAGATTACATTTCGTAGCTGAATTCTACTGCAATGCATACAGCTTATGGCTCTACCATCTTAATACATCAGGAACAATTTATATTTAAATATGTCAGCTTGTTTGAAATAAAGTTATTCACATGTTTCACACAGAAGTTTGATCTCATATTCTTCACTGACAATCATTGTTGAAGCATCAAAGGCATATAAACAAACTCAAAAATGTGTACGTAAACTTATTGTCCAATTCTGTTTTTGTATGATCAATTTTCTTGAAAATATGATTACTAATCATTCAATGTGTCTTTTGATTTATGATGTGGGTACGTTGTTATTCATATCCTATTTCACTGCGAAATGTGAGAGAGGAGGATCTGAACTTTAATTTGAATAAACCAAGTGTATATGCTTATGAAACCTCACCCACAATATAACCAGCTTTAAAATACTTTTAAGCAGTGAATTTTTTTAGACGCAAAATATAAATCACATTGTTGTCATAGAAAGACTGGAAAATCAAGAACGGATGAAGAAGACTTGTCTGCTTTGAAGCAGTTCAGCTGATATTAGACCAGTTTCACCACTGGAATAAATATAAGAAAATCTTGTAGTGATAGTCAACTCAGCTGACTACTAGAAAAATGCAAGGAAACATCTTGATACTGATCCTTCTGAGGAGAAAAATGTTACAAAAACACAAGCTCGGTTGAACAAATTGTTAGCTGAAAATAGTGAAACGATGCAATCTGTAAAATAGAAACTAAGTTCTTCTTTATGGTTTTCATTGGAACTAAAAGGTTGCTACTCCTGTGGATTTCATGAGCTACTAAAATTCTACAAGATAGATATTCCACTCAAACTTGTTGTGGATTTTACCAACTCATAAACGTATAATTAAGCAAAATATATCTGAAATCTTAAAATTGTATGAAAAGGAATTAAAATATATAGTAAAGTATTCGTCTGAAATTACAATAAGACGTAACTCATATTAAAGAATACCAAATAATATCAATTTTTGACAGGCGTTCATTAGCCTGAAACCAGTGTGGAGATCTGCTGCACTCCACTCAGAATAAAACACGAGCAACATCCGGATTCTCAACACCAATTCAGTCAAGTCAGTGCTTCTGTATGGCTCAGAGACTTGGTGTGTCACGAAAGACATTTCCAACAAACTACAGATATTCATCAACAACTGCCTACACTGGCTCGCCACTGAAGATCAGATGGCCAGAATAATAAGGATGAGCAACAAGGAACTCAGTGTGTCTGGCAACGAACCAACGAAGAAGCTATCATGCAACAAATATGTAGAAGAGGGAAGTGGAGATGGATTGGATTGGGCATAGATACAGTGAGAAGGTCGGCTGGGGACATCACGCATCAGGCCAGTCACTGGAGTGGAACCCTGATGGGAAGCGACGAGTTGGGTTTCCGAGTTGAGGGTGACATGGAGGAGATGGTGCGAGGAGGAAATGAGAGGTTGTGGGCAGTCGTGGAGCCATGTTGAAAAGATTTCGTAGAACAGAGTGAAATGGAGATGTGCTACTGGAGCCCTATGTTCCATTGGGAACCCAAGGGACTAATAATATATATAACAATGTAAATAATATCGATTTTTGATGTTTACTGTCTGTTTATTAATGTACTCATTACCGATACATTTGACATCGTTTATAACCTTATGTTGCCTGATTTTGACCTAAGATTACGTTACTCACTAAATCTATAGGATGATACAATCAACAGTATTCATATTCGTAGATCTGCATAGACAGATAGATGGCATAGTGACGGTATCTCTAGTATCTTCAATCACCGCTCATTTGTTTCATGCATTCTTTAGAGACGGTTGGTAGTTAAGGTAAATAGACTGTACGTTTGTAATCACTAAACGCAATAGTTAGGAAGAATTTTTTTTATGTATGAATAATGAGTATGAAGGTAATACTTTCAAAAGTGAGTTTGAATTCAGTTTACCGAAATCGGCATCTATATACTGTATGGTAGAAAGGCACCAGAAAAAGAAATCAAAATATCCTGACAGATACCTAGAGTATCAATCTGTCCATGTCTTATCCATGAAAGTGACAGTAGTTTGGATTCTGAACAATGGAGTTACTTGACTTGTCACAATAGAAGGGAATTTAAAATGAAGGTTAACGTTAGTTTACTGTACCCTGGAAGGATTAGTTATACTAATGACTCGGTTAGAAATTCTTAAAAATGAAGTCACAATGTACCTAAGCTGTCTCCGAAGAACTACATCAACACTGTTATAATGCCATATCGTAGAGAGACCTTTGTAAAAATAGAGGGGAATTTGAAAATTATGACACATGGGTCTAGTTTCGCGCAACAAATACTCTACGTTAAGCATCTGTGTAGGTTGGAAAGGTAGTACGTAATGAAAATCAACAAAACTGCGTTCTTGACATTGGATGCTTTGAATGTAATGCAGTACGTGTTGGAGAGATAGCCAGGTAGGTGAGTGTACCGACGAAGAAGCCCAGACTTTATCTAAAGCAGATTCGCTAAACCTGGACAGTGGCCAGCAAGCTTGAAAAAAAATGAGCTATTGCATTATAAAAATAGAAATATGCCAAAAAAGATCTTGAGTAATACTAAGAAGGACCGACGGCCGAAGCCCTACATTCGTATGCATATCCAGATAGTTCAAACAGACGAGATAGAGTGCAGCCAGCAACTATTTGACAACTACCAATAAGCACGTAGAAAGGGTGGTTTATGTATTCAGTCTCATTACAAGTATCACCAACCTAGTATACTAGTTCACTAATTACTAACCGGTCGAAAGCCAGGATAAAGAGGGAAGGTTGGGCATAGGAAAACCCGGAAACCCCGGAAAACTAATCCAGTTGCTAAAAAAACTTCAAAGTACACACGAAATATAGAAAATAATAATAAACTTATTCCTCGCTGTAATCTAGGAGACGAAATGACGCTGGTTAGTGAAAACTTACGGGAAACCAACTGGCCGATGTGTCTCCTCTTCTTTCGAGCAAAGCAGAAGTAAGCATGGGGAAATGGAATGCCAGCACGATGTTTGAAGCTGACTCGCAAGTTTGCAAGGCTGCCCAGATTGCAAACAGATGGAGAGGTATGGCATAAAAGTGCTAGGAATCTGCGACAGCAGTTGCGATGGAAGTGGACTCTCGAAACTATCAACCGGAGAGTAGTCAATAATCTACTCCGATATTGTCACCCAGACGACAACCACGAGCACAGTACACTGCGTTCTAGAGTGGTTATCATGATGTCCACAACAGCATCGGAGGCTCTCTCTCATGCAGTCGGAACCAATCTCCTCCTGCAGGATCAGGTTCATGATAGCAAGGTTCAACTCGAAAGGAGGGAAGGTCACAATCATACATCACCTACAAATAATGCAGATGAAGAGAAGAATGAGGAATTCTATAGACAGTTGCAATCAACACTGGACATGACCCCACGCCAGTTGGCGATATCAAGATTCATTCTAATGGGTGAGGTGAGGTAATTGTCAAACTGGTAGCAGACAACACAGGAAGAGAGCTGATCGTGTGTCGAGAGGCACTCAGTGAAATGATGAATGAGAATGGAGAACTGTTTGCAGACTTCTGCGCACTCAACCATTTGGTGATTGGGGGCAGTGTGTACAAACACAAGGATATTCACAAGATAGCGACATGGATTTGATTTCACCAGACACCAGGACACACAAGAAATCAGATCAACTTCATCTCAATGTGGAGAAATTGGAGATGGAGACGCAGTCTACTTGACACAAGATGAGGAAGAGGAGCAGTTGTAGGTTCACACCAAGCAACCTGCCTGCAAAACCAAGTTGAAAGCTTTCACAGAAGTTGATGATGATAGACCACAGTTGAAGTTGAACACCCAGAACAAAAACTGAACTGAAGGACGAAACTACAAACTACAACTACATTTTCACATCAGTCAGTGGTCAGGACAAGATGGGAGACATTGAGCAACATCCCTGAAGAAACCTGCATGGAAGAACACTGGAACTCTTTGAAAGTTATGTGGAAAGAAACCTGCATAACCATGTCAGGAAGAAAGAATGAACAAGACAGGACAAGACAAGACAAGACAAGACTAGGAAGGCATCTCGATGGACACATGGAAGCTGGTAGAGGAGGGAGAGGAAGATGGTGATGGTAATGGTGAAGCAGAATATGAAAAATTGCAGTGTAGGGATGAACAAGGAAAAGAGAAACTGAGTACAACGCATAAAACACTACACTGGACAAAGACGTGAATAAGAGTGAGCGCGAAGACAAAAGACACTTCTGCGACACATTGACAAGTGAAGCAGAACAGGCTGCAGGTGGGAGGGACAGAGACCTGACAACACTATATCAAATAATCAGGTTACTATCTGGGGGGAGGGGGGAGGAGATCAACTCATATGGAACCGATGAGAGATAGTGAAGGAAATTTAGTTGGCAAAGAGGAGAAACAAAGGAAACGATGGGCTGACCACTGCAGAAAACTCTTGAATCAACCACTAACACCATCACCAACTGCAACTCGTCGAGAATTCCACCAGCAGCCCAGCCAAAGAACTACCAGTGAACACAAGCCCCCTGACAAAAGCCGAAGTGAAGTCCTGAGCTCCATGAAGTTGCCGAAACGTAGAAACGTAGCAGGACCAGGTGGAATTTCTCCAGAAACACTGAGAATAGGTGGAGAGACCACTACTGCAGAGGGTTTGAAAGGAAGGAAGGAGAGGTACTTGGTAGTTGGTTTGAAGAAGGGCTACCTGGTCAAACTTCCAAGGAAGGGCGACCTGAGTCTTTGCAAGAACAAGAACAGGCGCGCAATTACGCTGCTGTCCACCCAGAGCAGGCAAAATATTAAGCTGCATCATCCTGGAGAGACTGAACAATGTTCTGCATTCAAAATTACTACCTTAACAGGCTGGCTGTCTTCAGGAAGAACAAATCATGTGTGGATCAAATCGCAACGCAACGCTACGCATCATGCAGATGGATCGGGTATGCACTGAGAAGACCGTTCGGAGACATCGCTTGCCAGCCCCACAAGTGGAACTCAGATGGGAAACGATGAGTTGGTTTCCCAAGGGTAACATGGAGGTGGTCGTGTGAGGAAGAAATGAAAGCTTCTGAGCAGACGTGGATCCAAGTTCAAAAGACTGTAAAGAAGATAGTGAAATGGATGCGTGCAACCATTATGCAACCTTATGTTCCACTAGGAACCCAATGGGACAAATAATAATAATAGTAGACTCATTGACTACTGATTTCAGCCATATCCCTCGACTGTACTGACTCCCAAAAGTGCACAAGGAAGACAGGCCTTTTGCGACCTATTCTCGACATGACAGCATCGCCTTGTTATCATATCCTATCTGGAGGTTTGTGGAGGCTTATCAGTTGGTTTTAGGTTGGAATTCATCATGGACTGACATGAGTTGAAGGAGCATCGAAAACCTGAAAGCACTGGACAGCTGTGTAGTCCTAGAATGGGACTCCTCAGGCGTAGTGCACCCATGAACCCTCCTCGCCAGGCACCGAACCCACGACCTTCAGGTTCCGTGACCAGCACATTACCGTTGAGCCACCGGGTCTGAATCCAGTGGTCCACATTTTCTACTTTTGTTAGTTCACTATACACCACGACCTACATGCAATGTCGTCGTTGAGTAATTTTCCTCATGTTAGACTTGGTTGACTCCACAGGTCGCTACTTTTCACTGGAACTTCGGCGATCCCCTCTCGAAGCTGGTCACCAATCAGTGCTAGAATAATTCTATATGAAAGTTTGTGGATGTTTATCAGTTTGATTTTAGGTTGGAATTCACCATCATATTGCCCAGTGGTTAGTCAAAATTTTGGAGCCCATAAGATGACAAGTCTCGCTTCATGCAATTGGCCACTCTTTTGATTTTGTCAATTTTATTGATAATGTAAATTGGTCTGACAAAACTATATTCTCTTTAGATGTGGTCTCGTTATTTACAAGCGTCCCACTAAGACAATATGTTACATATGTGACTATATTGATTCTAACAGATTGAATGTTGGAATTCCCACACATCACCTAAGTGAGCTGTTGCTCAGATGCACCTTGGACGTCCAATTTTCCTTCAATAATGAAATATACGGACAAGAAGATGAAATAGCCATGGGTTCATCATTGGACTCCTTGCTTGCAGACTTCATGTCAAAGCTAGGAAACAAACACCTGATCAGAATGATCAACCGGTTCAAACTTTACAAGTTATACATAAGTGATGCCTTCATCACCTCCAATAGTACGGATAATTTAGAAGATATCCTGTCTCATTTTAATAACTGCCACCCTCCAACCAGGTTCATATTATTGGAGGAACTTAAGTTTTAGATATCCTTTTTAGATGTGCAGCTAGAAGGATGAAACAGTGGATTGCTCGAAAGATTTGTTCACATGAAACCCATATGGAACGGTCAACCTACGAATTCCCATAGTTGGGTGTCTCTAAGCACCAAATGAAATCTAATTCGCAGTCCTGATACTTTGGAAGATGAACTTAATATTTTCAAAACGTTTTGATTGAAAACCAGTATCGTGAGCGTTTCATTACTACAGCTATGAAACCGAAAGTAAATAATCACTCCACTTCTACGTTCCAAAAAAGCCTCTTTACATGAGCATACAGTTCAAAGGAGATGCATCAGGAGAAACTGTGCGACATGCTCATTCAGAAAGACTTTCTATGCTGGGAAACTAAGACTGAATTTCTCTACTCACCCAATGCTTCAATTATGCGTAAAGGATAAGCTAGCTCCCTTGGACACCTTGATGTTTTTATTCATTCACCTGCTCCTGTGGAGTTAAGTATGTTGACCTTCCTCAGCGTTCGCTTTCCAAACGTGTTTCCAAACATATACCAGCTTGAATCCATAAAGGAGACAGGATTACACTTCACTGCACTATTTCAGAACTTTTGATCGATTATGATTACCCGGTAAATGTAGAAAACAACTTCAGTGTCATCTATAGAGTTCGTATAAATCTCTTGAAAGGTGTACACCTAAAAATTCAAATTTTGGAAGCCATGGCAATTAATATTTTGAAGCCTGAACTCCGCCTTCAAAAGAAATTTATCCAATGATCTGAGTTGTAATGGCCATAACCTAGAAGAACATTTTTACCCTTAAAAAATCTTTTCATTAAGATCTCACACATTACATTCCTCCACTCTTTTGATTCTGATTTCTCTTTATATTCACTATATTACATCATTTAACTTAATAACCGAATATTGGTTCGGTCTTGATAAGCCTTCTCTTCATTACTGTTTCAAACATTACGTAATTCTTTTTTCCGACCTCCTGATTTTAAATCATATCTGAACTTTGTTCATGAAACATTCTTTTTCTGTTACTATGTGAATAGAATATTTTTATGCGATTGTATAGCTTGAGAATGATATCGCGGAAGAGAGCGACTCTTTGCTAAACGTCTTTATCAGTCAATGAAAAAATTATTAATAATAATTCAGAAATGACAAAAATGACGAATATCCACCTCATAGTACATAAAACTACAACATGACCATGGTGTCCGCTGTAACCTTTCCTGTCTCGTAGTTTGCAATAAAACAGGATATGAATAACAACGTACCCACATCATAAATCAAAAGACACATTGAATGATTAGTAATCATATTTTCAAGAAAACTGATCATGCAAAAACAGAATTGGACAATAAGTTTACGTACACATTTTTGAGTTTGTTTATATGCCTTTGATGCTTCAACAATGATTGTCAGTGAAGAATATGAGATCAAACTTCTGTGTGAAACATGTGAATAACTTTATTATAAACATGCTGACACTTATGCATGCATTACTTTAATGTCAACTTTTCACTCAGTGCATGATATCTGGGCTACTGTTGGATTATATCTTGATCATGGTTCATGTAAATTGTATAACATTATTTGTGGCCAGTACGGATGCGAAGTCAAAGGCTGAAACCTCTTTAAATCTGTGGTTCCTGCTGATTAACTTCAATTATCAAACCTCAGACATTGTGCACTATTGCATCGTTTTACTCAGTTGACGAGTGACTAGTGAAGTTTGGCCAGATGCAATGGCTAGCTGTTATATTTTCTAACATTCAGTCAGCAAGTCGTATAAATATATCTTAAAGTGTAACAAATCATTCTCCACGGGTCATCTGGAAGTTGGATATTTCATGAGACAACGATGACGGAGACATTATGAACTGAAAATATTAGGATCATAGGAGAGTCCAAACTACAGATGTATCCGAAATCATTGAATATAAAATTAATCTCAAATTAATCTGTCAGCGTGATGGTATATTATTCTTTGATGTTCACTGAATGACTTCATCAACATTTACTTCACAAAGAAGTGCTGATGAAACGCCCAAGATTTAACAAACTCCAAAGCTTTCAAAACACCACCATTGGTTGTAAATCTCCTTGAGATTTTGATGATGATTATCTGACAATGAGTAATGATTCAAAGAGAAATGAAAATCTGGATAGTGGTGGAATTCAGACTTTCAGGCCTTGGGTTCTCGTCTCAACGCTTTGCCCACTGAACCAGTAACCCGGAGGTTACTGGTTCGAATACTACTGTAGCCCAAATTTCCGTTCCACCTTTAATTACCATTCAGTAACATTATTATTATTTTAGGTTTGACTAAGGTACTATATTCCTTGACTACTTCAATAAATCCAAAAACCAAAAAGAGTAAGGAACCACTTAACCTTGAAATCAGTTTATACTGGATATTCAAGGTTACAAATACATCTAAGTATGAATTAACCCTATATAGAGTTTGCCCACTTTGGAATTAGTCAATTTATTGTCACTACATTTGCATCTATATATATATATATATATATATATATATATATATATAAAGTATAAATTATGCATCATATGCGGTTTTCTTTTGCAGTCGGTCTTATGTAAGTTATACTCATTGCCAAAATTTGTGTTCAACATGACTCCAGTTGGTGTGTTACACAAGTCACTAATGAATGAAAGGGAAAGAGTGAAAATATATTCACTTTTGTTATTTATTTCATGGCGTCAATAATGTAGTGCGGTCTTCTGATTGTTTAACTTCATCAAATGAAATATAATTCATTTTTTTGCATGACAAAGCACACATTTCACATGTGTATGAAAGCAGAATACAATAATTTAGTTGTTTTAAAAAAAATAAATTTGACTAAAGAATGAAAGTTAAGAAAAATAACACTTACGCGTGGTCGTTTCCATTCCAGTTGTTCTCGAAATTCTTTCATATCACCTATAGAACTACTATGAGCCGGGAAATCAGGATCTTCCCAAAGTCTTCGTTCAGCTTTCAATTGTCGAGTTAGTGCCTCGTACTGTTTACTCGCAACACTCATCATTATTTTAAGCTGAAAAAGTATGATATATGTTGTAACAAATAGTTGTAACACACCTATATATAAACACATATGATTACAAGTCATGATATCCTATTCTCTTTAGATTGACATTATAAGCTTGATGACTGTTTCTCCTCTCATCTAAATTCAATATCATCTGTGTAGTATTTGTAAAAAGTTCGTTTAAGTAGGTTGAATAACTTGCCCTTCTGGTTTACTTGAATAAAATAGTATACTGTTAGCAAATTATCAATACACTGAACTCTTCCTATTGAAATGTTCCACATCTGCATGCTTTTGAATAAAAACCAAGTAACCCATTTATCCCCCCCACACACACATACACATTGACAGTGATTTAAAGTAGGACGTAATTCATTCAATTTCAACATTTGATGAAGCTGAATGAACTGTATGAATTTTATATAGAGATTTACAATCCTTCTAACCTGTTCAGTATATATGAAATATTTCATGATCTTTTCAGCCAGAATATCAAGTAGATGATATTCTTTAATTGATAAAATGTATAAATGATATTAAACATTGCACAGTAACCAGCAGAGGAGTCAAAAACATGTTTCATCCTTTTTCGGGTTCATCAGGTGTATGTAACTGTCGGAATGAATCTCGATTTTGCCTATATGACTTAACGTCAACACGAAAAGAGACTAGCCAATTCATGACTGTCAATCAACTTGAGGGGAAAATAATAAATTTTGGTGAAGAATTGATACCCAATTAACAAAACATTTCAAACGTAATTTAATCATCTTTTGGAAAAGGCGATGGTAACTTAAGTGATAAACTGTAGTTTTGAGGCTCAGCAGGAACGCTGTCACGAGGACATGGAGGGATTTCGAAGATTACCAAGGCTCCAATTCACGTTAAAATATTTTATTTCACTGAACATTTCTGGACACCTATCGTTAATGTTTTTTTCACTTCATCGCTTCCATCCGAAAACTATAAAAGCAAGAGTGTCGACTGACGTTTATGGTACTAAACTGTAAAGAACTTCCTACCAATCAGTTTACCTGGAATTAAATATTTATTTTACCTGATAATCCACAGATTATCCCTTTTCAACTGAGGTCTACTAAGACTAAGAGAAGTGACCTTCATTATTTTAAATTAAAAGGTAGTTTTATAGATATTCGTAGTCTGTAAACAACGTTAGGTTTACAGTCTTTGTGATTGTAATGCATTTATTTGGATAAAAATACGACAATCATTTTTAATTGTTAATCTGCATAATTCATATAGAAATGAAAAGAATCGAACAGACGGTGAATGTATTGGATGATTGGTAGTTTCCTATCCGTCACTTAAAGATGAATAGATGAATGCAAAATTTAGCGGATAGCTGTTCGACTTCTGGTATACCTTCATTTTCATATTTCTTACAGTCCCATACACCTTTGTCTATGTTAATATCGATCTATTTATATTCACTTATTTTTGTATGCTACTGTGTAGTATGATAACTTGAAATCTATACACTTGTATGCGAGGTTCTATTTTGATTTTGTCTGTGTATCTTCTAGTATACTCTAAGGTGTAACTGCAGTCTCTAGCTGTAACTAACTTTTAATACCCATCAAGTATGTAAAATATAAAAATTTACAAATTACCTTAGCATATCCTTTAGGAGTAAGTGTCTTTGGAAGGTTTGGATTAAATTCCATACGCTTGGGACCCTTCACGGGTTTTAGTACTTCTACTGAAATGTGAAAAAGAGAAGAAAATTTCTTGTTATGTATTATTTCATATTTTTAAAAATAATTTTGAATATATGAGAATCGAATTTACTCAGGTTTTGCAAAAGTACTGCTTTTGGTCATATTAATGGGAAGAACATCATAAAGTGTGAAGATATGTTTTGCATTGTTACAGTAAGCTTGCTTATTGTGACATGCAGAATTAAAATAGTTTATCTCGAAGGAATGAACGTATTCTTCGTTTCTTGAATAAGTCAGTCAAATTTATTTAAAATATTTTTAGAGTTTTAAGCCATTTACCCGAAGCTGCCTTTATTCAGTTTTTGTTTTTGTTAGGGTATATCCATGAGACTAAAGGAAAGTGCTAGCTCACATCATCAAATAATTTATTATTAAGCTATTCGGTCCCGTTAGATGTTTTAAAGAGTACTAAGCCTAGATCAAAGTCTTCTTGTGATGGACATTCCAACTCCATCTTTCAGTACTGAACAACATAACACTACCTTTACCTAACCATCTTTACAAACCTAACCTTTGTATTTAAAGCAAGTTTGTTCAACCACTTTCATTACCGTGACCATATACCTGATATAACTTTTAGTATTACTTTACACAACTCTTCCCCCCTGTTGTTCCTATCAATATTCATTTGTTTTCTTATTATTACGCAGTCATTTATTCCTTATGACTGCACATACATCAAAAAGCACTCCATTTACGCTGCCACTTACTATGCAACCCACCTAGAAACGACTTCCTTCATATTGATTATTTTGGTCTTAATTTCTAAAACTTGTCATAACCTATCTAGGGAGCATCGTTTCAACTACAGGTGGCGTCACAGACGAGGACGTCAAAGCAGCCAGGATCGGGAAAGCAGGACAGGTGTTCACTAGTCTGAAACCAGTGTGGAGATCTTCTGCACTCAGCATAAAGAACAAGATCCGGATTTTCAACAATAATGTCACATCAGTGCTTCTATATGGTTCAGAGACTTGGTGCATTACAAAAAGCATTTCCAAAAAACTACAGATATCCATCAACAACTGTCTACGCTGGCTCGTTACTGAAGCTCAGATGGATTGTCAGAAAGAAAAAGCAACAAGGAACTCTGGCAACTGACCAACCAAGAACCTATTGCTCAAAACATATGCAGAAGAGAGTGGAGATGTATTAAGCATACACTGAGAAGACCGGCTGGGGACATCATTCACCAGGCCCTCAAGTGAAACCGGAACGGGAAACGACGAGTTGGGTGTTCAAGGTGAGGGTGACATGGAGGAGATCGTGCGAGGAAGAAATGAAAGCTTGTGGGCTGTCGTGGAGCCAGGTTCGAAAGATTGCAGAGAATACAGTAGAATGGAGACGTGCTACTGGAGCCCTATGTTCCACCGGGGACCCAAGGGATAGATAATAGTAATAATAATCCTCATGACTTAAAATTTGTGCTTACTGTGAACTAACCCCCACCACTTGACTGATATTTTGATTGGACAGTAAACCTATATTTTACTGTAAAATATATATATTTCTTCCCTCAGTCAGTCTTCTTCAGCTGATATAGAGAGAATTAGTAGCGTGAATATTGAGACTCTTTATATACGATGATCGGTTGCTGAATTGAAACAACGTAGCTACCTAACGCAACAGTCGATAATTGTAATTCAAAGTCAAATTACTTTATATTTGGTTTAGAAACAGACGTTGAATCCCATCTTCCGAACTGTTTAAAAAGTATGCTTCTTACCTCCTTCATAAAATATTACTTCGTCAACTGAGTATGTTTACTTCGGTACTCTTCTTTCTAAGAATTGATCTAACAACGGTGTTTTTATGTTAGAAATAAGTTAACCGCCGTGATGAATAAAGTCAGTCGATAACGTATTTCAGTATAATAGTACGGTAAGTGGTAAAACAACTCCATAGGTGTACACTTTGCAACTGGTGGTATTGATTATTAGTGAAAGTTTCCAACCCTTTTAAAAATTAAAGTTTTTGGATCTTATTTTCAGATGATACAAGCACAGTTTTCATGTTTAGGCTGGCTTTGTTGTGATATTTCCCGACTTACAAGATTATTAGATAGAATACAGCAGATTCGATGACTAATTTACCTACATAATCAATTCTTGGGAGGAAACAGTCATATCCATGAAGTGACTGGTTGTTGTTGCGTGATGAAGGTCCGCATTTAAGTGGAAGTACGATTTAGTTTTGGGAAGATCCAAAGTGCCTGTATCAAGTTTCTACAGCGGCGAAGGTATTTTTCCAAAGAGTCATGGAAAATAACGCAAGCCTGTCAAGAAAGTTGAGTAGCAATGAGATTATTTCATAAATGGCTTGCACCTGGAGAATATGGTTCTGTGAATTACAGTTTCAGGGTTAAATAGTGATGCGGTCTACACAGGATCTGAAGGACAGACACTCTATGCAGTCCTAGTATTGTACTATTAGGCGTTCCTAGCTGTCAGCTATGAAATGCTCAGCCATTTTTCAGTGGTTATCTATCTAATGTCAATCCATGATGAAAACCACTCAGAAACCATTCCATCCTCTTCAGGCGGTTTATTTAAACAAGTATAGACTTGAAATGGTTTCAATAAGCTGTTATCGAATGCAGTCCTACCGAGGACTATGAAGAAAAAAAGATACATATCAGTTACTAAAATACAGACCACGATTTCCAGCCTGTTGGTATTGTATTCACTGGTGAGCATTCATCCTTGAAAAATAAGTCGGGCTAAAGTCGTCTTTTCCCCGGATTTCTCACCATACAGTGAGATAAAAACAGCTCTTCAATAAACCACCAAACTCAATGGTGCTTATTGGTGACTTGCCTTATAGATGAAATACTGGAAGTTCTTATGAGATACCTGGACCTATGGGATCGAATATCTACGGCGTTTAAGATAGTTACGTACTCATAATATTGGTTATTGGTCAAACCAAATATTTAATGAATAGATGATCGGAATTGTTAGTCAATATATTTCAATTAATTAAATGACTAGTAATCTGCTATGATGCCTGACAAATCTGTGTTAGTTCCGTCATAATATCGTAAGCATGCACCACTAAACACTTTCAAATTTGGATGAAACAACTGTTCATTGCTTCTTGGCCTACAGGAATTCACCAACTAATATTGCTTTGTTATGAATACCAATCTGACTTTCATAATGATTAACAAAAAATTCATTTTTAAACAATGAAAGTGAATCTCAAAAGATTGTACTTCATTAAATCATACTACTTTAAGTCTATAGAAAACCTTATTAGTGCAACTTAGTTATACTGAAAAATTGAGATAGTCACATGGTGAGTGAGGGTTTCAGTTCAGTAGAGAGAGAAAGAAAAAGGGTGTATGTGTGGTCATTAGGTAGTTGACTCATAAATACCGTAATTACATCAGTTTTATGTTAACATTCAGCTGATTAGTCATTGCAAAGTACAGTTAAGATATTTTATTCCTTTCTGAAAGAACAAAGTAAAATTTTGAGATTGGCTTAGCTACTTAAGTCATGGTTAAATCATTTGATATAGGTCAACAGAAGAAAATTCTGAAAAAAACTACAACAAATTGTAATAATAAAATGGATAAAAAAGGCTGAAGGAATTTTATTATGCCTGTTAATAACACCAATAAGTGTGGTATTCAGCAGGAAGTACATTTTTTTGTAATTTATATTGAAAAAATTGGTGCTTATAAAGTGAAACGTTGACAAAGTCATTCCTCACTTCCTAAGCAATCTGAAAATATGCATTACGTAATAAAAAGACGGAGGTTATCTGATTGATGTGATGTATTCACGCAATACATTTCGAAAACACTCATCACACAGTCACTTGTTGTTTATCCAAAATACACAAACCAAATATCGCATCATCTACAACACCATCGATATATCAACGCATATCAACGCATAATTTGGCAAAATGGCCTCCTCAAATGCTAAGGACACGCACAAACTAATTATGTAACTCTGCATTAAAATATACTCTTCGAATCATTCACCACATAAATGACATTATCATCAAAGACACGACAATGTATTCCTTCAGTGTAAACTCTTCATTCACCAACATGCCTTCAACCAAGACGGGTGATATTCTTCATCATCATATATCCTTGAATATTCCTTCATTCACCATCCCTACAAAATACTTGAAACAGCTATCACTACCATACACGGATTAGGTTGACTTCACTTTCGAAGGTGAACATTTTCGACAAGTTGATGGTGTTGTCATGGGTAGTTGTTTAGGACCATTGTTAGCTGGTGTCCATATGTCACATGTTGAAATTTTGCTTGAGGATATATTCAACAAAGTCCCTCTGTTCAGGAGACACGTAAGTTAATGACATCTCGTTGATATGTAACAAACATGAAGATGTGAAAGGTCGTCTAAATCGAACCAACACCCAACAAAACCGGATCACTTTGTCATATCAGGCTGGAAGCAATAATCAGCTTCCTTTTCTTGACGTGTTGCCAACTGGATTGGGAGGTGGGTCAATACAAATATCAGTGTACAGAAAACCTATGTGGATTCGGATATTACCTCAACTTTCATAGTCCCTGTCCAATACAGAACAAACGAGGTTTTGTAAAATGTTTGTTCCAAGCGACTCGACGTATCTGCACAACAGATACATGCGAAGAAGTAATCCAATTCTTGATGGGGAAGTTCATGGAAAGTGCACGCTCTCGGAAGTTCATCAATCGTTATGACAATGTTTTGAATGGTGTTAACTAATCAGTATTCTGTCTCGAAGAAGGAGGTTTACAAATTCGCGTTACTGTATGAGGTGTCATCAAACAGCACGATGTGAAGCGAAGGCTCAATTCAGTTATTAAAAGGATAAACTATCCATCCAAGCTGAATATTATTGAGAAAACGAAAGCTGTGTTTCAAACTGAATCCCATCACTTCATAGATGATTACAGGTTGATATTCATTATGGAATGGCATTGTTTGGAGGAATATTGGAAACTTGGGAGCACTGGACAACTGTATCGTCCTAGTATGGGATTTTATATCGCACTATGTAGTGAACTGACAGAAGTAGGAAATGTGGACCGTGGAAAAAAAGAATGTTGGCGTTCTATCAGCATATAACACCGAATGTGACATCTTGGTTGCTTTGGTGCCTATCTTCGTGCCCTTGCTTCTCACTAAAGCCATAGCTTTTAGTCAACGTTTATTCCCTGTGTATTAAATTGTATGAAAGTCATAAAAGGAGTAATGATCACTTGCTTTAACGCTGTTACACGTTTAATCAGGAAATATAACTGATAATAGATAGTATACCATACCTGTCGAGACAAGCCTACGTGCAATGATGAATCCAGTGTCGTACTGAAAATTGAAGCAGCAGTTAATTGATTATGAAGACATCAACTAAATTCTAAGAAAGATACTTAGATGATGACGTTTTATCTACAAGCAGGTCAGCTATTTCTGCTAAGGATAGAAACCAATGCATAAGCAATAGGCTTGAAGACAAATGTTATCCTTATCACTTGTTTTGAGTTACTGGAAGTATTTTATCACAAAAGAAGCATGTTAGATGTTGCTGCTATTTCATCAGAAGGGCATCCTTACATCTTTGAAGAACTTCATCTCTATTTAAAAGATTCAAAATTTCGCTAAACATTAAGAGGACTACAGAATTTCACATCAATCCATTCACATCAAGAATGAGACTGCCACAAACTTGGATCGTTTATATGATTTTCTGATTAGTACAGAAATCATTGAGATGGAATCATCTTTGAACTACTCTTACAGAATAAAACCATTGTAGTCACCAATCTTATGGTATGAAGTACTCAGCCTAAGTCATTATTTATGAAGAACTACTCCGCCCTGTCAAATGTCTCTTTTTAAGAGAAGATAATCTTCTCATTGATAATTGACCATATTCCATTTAGATGTTGCTAAACGCCCATATGTGTGTATCACTTCACATTTCAATGCAATGAAAGAGCTGGTCTAAGTCCCATATATATTTATAGACTGAATCCTAGATGACTTTGAGTCCTAGAAAGAAATGAAAATAGCCTGAAGTCGACAAGTAAATTCCTTTCAAGATTAGGTGACCTTGAAGTAGTTGCAGAAGCTGTCTAATGCATGCAATTATGGGTTACTTCGCCACTTACTTCATGGTTGATAAAAAGATGTGAAAGTAAATAAAATTCTTAAATCCATAATTTCGCCGTCTGATGGCTATCCATCCGATAGGAACTTTATTAATAGGCCATCTCACAGACTTTTTAACATAAGTTAGTTATCTAGTGAATTAACTCCAATTTCTATGTTGAAATTATTTTTCTTAGTATAAAACAAGAAATTAAAAATTATTATTTATAGTAAAAATATTTCCCTCTTTCAGCTTTCTAGGATGCATAGAACATGATAACTTTTCAATGGGTTTGCAGGCGTTTTGTTTTGTTGTCAGTACAAATTAGCACATATACTAGTTTCAGGAATTCTATCTGCTTACATTCAAACAACACTTAGTTCGATATTTCATGTTACCATGTTTTGAAATTACAATACACCATATATGTAGATGAATTTGAACAGTACTGTAAAATATGACTATAACTCTGTTGTTAAAAATTCTCGAAAAATTACTCAATAGTGTTACTCTTGGTGGACTGATTCATAAACCAACTCATAGAAATGTCTAACGACAAGATTGTTCACTTTGTTAGATCAATGAATGTATATTATGTAACTAACATTCAATATGAAATTAGGCAATAAATAACTTACAGTAATCATCTGGAGTCTCTCGTCTAACTTTGATTACTTTACCAGTACGTTGGTCAATTACCTGTTTACCAGGATGAGTAATTCGTCCAGCAACACTATCATCCTGTGCATAAACCTGTTAAACAATGCAAAGAAATCAATAACAGTATAAAATGGTAATAATTTACATCCTCCTGTTCAATGTCAGAACAAATTGATGAATCTGACGGTGACGATGGATAGTTATAGAAATACATTTTAAAACTATACTGAATAGCATTGAAACTGTTTATATGCTTATATACATTGAATATTTATCTTGAACAGGTGAATTCGATAAACGCATGAGTCTTGTGAATTGAGCGTGAATATTTAATGATACTGAGGTAAAACAGAAAACTTGTGATCATTACATTGGCATACATGTAAGCGAAACGATTTCCCATTATATCAATAGAAATTTTTTTAAAAATTGTAATAGTTAATAAAACATAAATTTCATTTTGTTTATTTAGATTATACAATAACGCCTTACAATTTGTATACGTCCCATTGTTACAGGAATCTCACCGTCGCAATATAGGTGAATGGAAGGGTTCTACACCAAATTAAATACTTCACTAAACACCACTGAAAATGAAGTTAGAAAAGGTGAGTTTAGACTTTTAAGCGTTTACAAACGTAGGTACGTACGCACTCAAACGCTACACACACACACACATGTATATATACAAGCACAAAAATAAACGTATGTATGCACAAACCAACTCACATTTATACACCTGCACATAAGTAACCTGTGTATTATGTCTACACGTGCCTGTAGGCACATACAGTTTTCTATTGTAAGACGATAACTTTGTCAAAACGATGGAAAATCTACCTTAATCGATTCTTTAAGAAAAAACTAGATCAAAAACTTGGTGCATATATCTAGATATTATTAATACACAATAAAAGAGTGACAGAGATTGGTGAAAATCAAATGAAATGTCTAGAGGCTGAGTCCAACTATAAGTAAGGCTCATTAAACATCAAAGTAAAACTACATCGAATAACACTAAGGTGGTTATATAGACACGTGAAAATGAGTTGGCAAACCAATATGTATCTATTACAGAGATGTGTCAGTCTGTGTCATCATTATAAATGTGTGTGTGTGCATATGTGTGATAGATGGAGTGAGGGAGAGAGATAGAGGTAAACAGAGTGAGTCCATTGAATATGTGCATTACAACTGCAAATAAATTCTTCACCGATAAAAAAATTAAATTTCTTCACACATATTTCTTGATAAATTTCAGAAATAATAAGATTACTCATTTTGTAAAACAATGAAATTTGTCATTTGACTGATTGTCTATTCCTCTTAATGTGATTTTGACCACTAGTTAATTATCTGACAACTACAGTGAAACTGAACCTCGCCTAGTTAACTAGTACACTAGTTACTAGACGGTCCTAACCCCGGGTAAAGAGGGATGGTTGAGCATACGCCTAAAAACCCTACACCGGAAAACAAATCTAACCGCTAAAGAAACTTCAAAGCACAAACGGTATATAAGAAATAATAACAAAATTATTCCTCGATGGAATCGGAGAGGCGAAATGATGCCGGTTGGTGAAACCTTCGGGAAGCCAATTGCCCCATGTATCTTCTCGGTATGAAAACGAAAGTAAACGTGGTGACATGGAATCTCCGCACGATGTTTGAAGCTGGCTGGCTGGCTGACTGGCAAGGCAGCCCAGATTACAAACGAGATGAGAAGGTATCACATTGGAGTGCTTGGAATTTGCGAAAGTAGATGGAATGGTAGTGGACTCTCGAAACTGTCAACCAGAGAGCAGAGTTAATAATCTACTCCAATATTGTCACCCAGATGACAACCACGAGCACAGTACACTGAGTTCTCGAGTGGCTATCATGATGTCCACTACAGCATCGGAGGCTCTCTGTCTCTCATGCAGTTGGAACCAATCTCCTCCTGCAGGATCAGGTTCATGATAGCAAGGTTCAACTCGAAAGGAGGGAAGGTCACAATCATACAATGCTACACTATGCACCTAAAAATAATGTAGATCAGGAAGAGAAGAAGGAGGAATTCTACAGACAGTTGCAATCAACACTGGACAAGACCTCAGTTGGCCATATCAAATTCATTCTAACAAGCGACATGAATGCCAAACTGGGAGCAGACAACACAGGAAGAGAACTGACCATGGGCCGAGAAGCGCTCGGTGGGATGATGAAGGAGAATGGAGAATTGTCTGCAGAATCCTGTGCATTCAACGATTTGTTGATTGGAGGCGATGCAGTGTGTTCAAGCACAAGGATATCCACAAGTCAGTGACATGGATTTCACCAGACACCAAGACACACTAGAAATCAGATCGACTTCATCTCAGTGTGAATAAAGTGGAGAGGGAGATGCAGCCTACTTGACACAAGGTCAAGAAGAGGAGCAGATGTAGGCCCAGACCACTCACTGTCTATTGCAAGGAACCCTCCAAATGAAGTTGAAATCCTTCAAGGAGGTTGGTGGTGGACCACAGTTCAAGTTCAACACCCAGAACAAAAACTGAACTGAAGGAGGAAACTACAAAGGAAATCTTCACATCAGTCAGCCATCGAGACGAAATGGGAGATATCTAGGAACATCCTTGAAGAAATCTGTGTGGATGAACACTGTAACTCATTGAAGGCTTTGTGGAAAGAAACCTAAACAACCATATTAGGAAGGAAGAATAAAGAAGATAGGGAATGGATCTCGATGGATATATGGAGGCTGATAGGGAAGGGAGAGGAGGATGGTGAAGAAGAAGATAAGCCAGTGCAAGGATGGACGACGACAAAAGGAACTGAGTACAATGTATAAAACACTACAGGGGACAAAGAAGTGAAGAAGAGTGCACGCGAAGACAAGAGATACTTCTATGACACATTGACAAGTGGAGCAGAACAGGCTGCATGTAGGAGAGACAGAGACCTGACAACATTAATACATCAAATAACCAGGTTACTATCTGGGATGGGAGAGATCAGCAGGGGTGAAATAAATAAGTCAAGTCAGTGTTTCTGTATGATTCAGAGACTTGGCGTGTCACGAAAAACATTTCCAACAAACTACAGATATTCATCAACAACTGCCTACACTGGCTTGCCACTGAAGATCAGATGGCCAGAATAATGAGGATGAGCAACAAGGAACTCAGTGTGTCTGGCAACGAACCAACGAAGAAGCTACCATGCAACAAATATGTAGAAGAAGGAAGTGGTGATAGATTGGATTGGGCATAGATACAGTGAGAAGGTCGGCTGGGGACATCACGCATCAGGCCAGTCGCTGGAGTGGAACCCAGATGGGAAGTGACGAGTTGGGTTTCCGAGTTGAGGGTGACATGGAGGAGATGGTGGGAGGAGGAAATGAGAGGTTGTGGGCAGTCGTGGAGCCATGTTGAAAAGATTTCGTAGAACAGAGTGAAATGGAGACGTGCTACTGGAGCCCTATTTTTCATTGGGAACCCAAGAGACTTATCATTATAATAATATGGTGAAACTGAGTTGGTCGCTTACTATAACTGAATTAATTATCAGTGCACTTTTTCAATCGATTTTACAGCCCCTTGAGAGTTTTTTAAATCTAGTGTATAATTTGATCGCCTAACTAACTGATTCAATACTGAAGTTCAGTATATTGGACACATAAACTTATCATGTATAGTAATGATGGGCAGTGGCTAGCAGTGGAATCTATGATGGGCATTCCGTCCTATTCGGGACTCGTCAGTTGAACGTACCTGCCTCCCAGTTAGTGATGTTGTTCCCACTGGGACTGGGACTCGGGAGCGATCGCTTCAAACTCCAGAGCGTTATCCACTACACCACCGATCCACGATAGCCACTTCTTGTGCGACGGGTATAGTTTTATTGTTATTGTTTGTATGACACCGTCGTTGATTGGATCGAATTGATCAGTCTGTTTTGACATATGGGCTCCTGTGCGGATGCCTCGATATTGCCTGTGTTTTAATTATGTATAATAATGGTGGACAATTACTGGCAGTGAAGTCTAGTTTGCACATTTCGTCCTGTTTGGGACTCGTCAGCTGGATGTTGCTCGGTGGTGTAGTGGATAATGCTCTGAAGTTTGAAGCGATCGCTCATGAGTCCCAGTCCAAGTGGGGACAACATCACTCACTGGGAGGCAGGTACGTTCAACTGACGAGTCCCGAATAGGACGAAATGCGCATCCTGGATTCCACTACCAGTCATTGTCCATCATTATTATACATAATTAAAACACAGGCAATATCGAGGCATCCACACAGGAGCCTATATGCCAACACAGACTGATCAATTCGGTTCAATCAACGATGTTGTCGTACAAGCAATAACACTATAAACCTATCATTTAAAATATCCGAAATCACTAAAGTTGCTAGACTGATTTTTGTAGTCAGAAATGATGACCATTATTGGCAGAAATTTTTGATCCCAGAGGGATTCACATCAGTCTGACGCTATACCAGATGGCCTGCAGGATTATATAACTAACCACGTCTGAATTTCATCTCACTTATAGACTATTTGAATCAGGCATGATATGAGTTAGAGGTATGTGTGAATGTTCATTTTCCATCACTTTGTTTACCAGTATTATGTATTCTTACCTCACTCAGCAATCATGGTATGCCTGTCACCCAAGGCTATCCAAGAGAGTCTAACTAATAGTCAGTCAGTCTATCCACAACTCTTATTAAATTGGGTTCCGAGAACAAGAAGAAAACCTCATCCGGCAGCTAGCATCATGAAAAAAACTAGTCATGTGCCTCGGAATCTCATGATCGATGGATGAAGCACTCAGTGACTAGAATGGAAGAGAAAGATTATGGACAAAGGACCTAGTATTACTGAGTTGTCGTTCTTGTTACAAAATCTCATATCAGTTCATAAGGTTTAAAATAAACCAATGAAGGAAAAGAAAATGACAGTAGTATGAACAAAAGTTATGGTAAACGGAAAGATGAAATGAAGTTGAAGCAAATAACAGAGAGTAATATAAACATTAAGACTAAGATAAGATGTGAATCAATCGCTCTGTTCTATTGTCGAAAAATGCTTACAGTTGATTTCAGCTGTCATCTGAAATTCGGTTGGGAGGCGCATAGTTTCTTACGTAGTTTGAACCAAAAGTCAAGGAGTGAATGAGCTGGTGCTATATATTAATGCGACTATTACCAGTCTTTTGTTAACCTAATCGTTCTTCAGTTGAAATAGTATTGTGACCTATATGTTGGCTTAGCGTGCTTAGTAAGTGGTACAGTCATCTCATTCGATGACGATTCACAACCTAATCAACAAACTTACCTCCGTTGCCTATGACTGGTCCTTTTATCTCTGTATTGCTTACGTGGGGGTTATATTGCATGGGTGATATAGTAAGGGGAACAATGGTTGAGGTGTTTACAAATCTTACACCTTTAATTACAATGCTACACATTAATAAGTTAAGGCAGAGTGAACTGTTGGGCAGCACATTTAGTCCACAGCGGGCTGTTTACTATCTTTCAGGCATCAAGAATGATACTAGCAGGCTGAGATCAATGGAGACTTCTGTGATGCTGAAGTTCTTTATGC